ATTGTTGCCTGAGAGCAAGACATTATGTAAGGCAAGCCTGTCAGAAAGCAAAAAAAAAAGTGTGTGTGTGTGTATATATATATATATGTATTTAAAATGTTCAAGAAAATCTCCAACTGCAAGCACCCAGCAGAGAGGACTGATGTTGTTGGATGAGCTGTGCAGTAGGTATTTTGCTGAGCAGTGTGTAATGCTGGGCATGTGGCTGAGTCTGATATCAAGCTGGACGTTTGCTGAGCCCCCATGATCTGCACTGAGTTTGAGGACAGTGTAGCAACATACCAATTTACGTGTACATATGCTATGCACTCCCTCTTCTGGATAACTTTGTAGTGGCTGTGCTGGTGGAATTTTCTCCCTACAAGGCTGAGCCTTAAAAACTCGTTGAGGCTGAAATTACTGCTGCATGTGGGCTATTACTGCACCGTGCCTGTTCAGAATAGGTCTGGGATGTCTTGCAACCAGCTCCCAGACATACAGGTTGTTATCACTTGTTTGGAATTCTTGAAGGCAATGGTGGCACAAAGGGGACCTCACTGCATCTGGGCAGGCGCTATCAGAGCCAGAGGTTCAGTACTGACCACTTCAAAAACTGAGAATTTAGATTTGAGTGAGGTAGCTGGCCTCATTCTTTGTAATGAATCATGCTGAAGTAATGTTTTGAATGTCAAAGATACCAGACATCAAGAGCATTTATTACAATTTGGACACTGCAGCTCAGACTCATCAGTATGAAAATATGATTTCCATTTTTAGGAAAGGGACTGTGGTTCTTACAGCATCTAAAAGAGAGAGATACCTGGCTCATTCCCACCTGCACCAGAGACATTCTGGCTGATACAGGCCACATCATCCAGTCTCTCTCTTCTTTGCTGTTGTTGTTCCCAATAATTCCCTGTCTGTAAAACAAGGGTTACATTTCTGCTTATCTTGTGAAGAAAACAAGCCACATACTCGAGGTGATTTGATCTATGATGTTACTGTGAGCCATAAACACTCTTGAATAGACTAAATTAGGCAAAATTATTGCCTAATTAATTCCTTAGTGCAGGACAATGTGCAAACCAGATTCTTCTGCATCCAGATATTTTTTACCTCCTGTCTCAGCACCTTTAACTTCTTCCACTCTGAGACCTCTGGAAAAGTTAGTCATAACATTAATTAGTTTGTCTTAAGACTAACTAATATTAACTCAATATTAGTTAGTTATACCTGAAAAAGAACAGAATCTGGGGGTCATCTGTTATTTGGTGTCTTGCTTCCCATACCCCTTAGGTGATGTGAATGTATTATGGCTCTTGTATCTCATACCTCTCCCCCCCAATAACAAAAAATATTAATAACCATCTATTTTTAAACTATGATTGAGGTCTCAAAATCCTATTTGGGCCATGGAGTTTCATTGCTAAGCAATGTGCTGCTGGCAGAAGAGAATGTGTCAATTTGAAGCCAGTGAGATTTACAGGAATAAAGTAAAGCTTTGGTTTAGGTTTTCAAAAGCTCAAACTGTGCCTGTGCATCCATTATACGTGACAGAATGATTATACTACCAAAAAAAAAAAAAAAAAAAAAAAAAAAAAAAACCACCACATATCCAATCTTTTGTATTTTGGCTGCAGGCAGTTCGGCTCTGTCTGGTTGAGTGCACATTGTGTGTTCTTCCTTTTGATGCACAAACATCTCTAGGTTAGTGACGAAAGGGGCAAGGGTCTGAAATCACATTAGACTGTTCTCTCATTGTGTTTAGACCAAACAAGACCACGCACTGCATAAAGGGGAATCTCTGTGGATCACCAGTTCCTGTAGGCGAACTCAGCCTCCCATTGTTCTGATGCGAAATTAAAAATATCGGTCCATAATATCTTGGAAAGGTTCCATACATCCTGAAAAGAATGAGTGATACATCCAATATGTGGATTTGCTTTTAACCAAGGCATATATCCATCCCCTGCGGTTGTGTATCAGCCCCAGCTAAGCCCATCCAATCCCCAGCATAAAGTGCTCATAGTTCGGTGAGGGTTATGCTGATGAAATCAAACTGTTATTACCTGCCTGCTGTGTGTTGGGATAAGTGTTCACATTTGAGTTTTGCTCGATACTTTTGAGAATTGCTCGATACTTTTAGCACGATGGGACTAGCGATTAAAACATGATCCTTGGATGAATCATCCACCTCTTTCTATCCATTTCAATGGAGGTGTTCTGGTGTTTGAAAAGTTTTTCAAACAGTTTTAAAATTGTTTGTGTCCCCAGCAATGCTGCTCATCTGCAAGATTTAAAGTCCCAAATGGGACATGTAGGGTTTTCTGCTATTTATTTCAAGTATTTCAAGTATTGAAATAAATAGCAGAAATAAATAAATACTGCTTCTGTAAAAGTATTTAATGGTGTCTTGCACCTATGGTAAATGAAGGGCAAGGGTAACACTTGGTAGTCTTGATAGGGCTTGAAATGTTTCACAAGGGAAAGCTGGTTTTATTCCACATTTACTATTGTCTCTTGCTTATGTTGTTGCATATCTTTAAAGTATTTCAAAATACACTAACAAAAGTAAAGAAGAATAACTGCAGTTACTGTTAGCTGAATCACAGAATGTAGCATGTATGCTACAAATCACACTGCTGTAGTCACAGCTGTACAGGTAATATAGCAAACTGCTTTCTTCTTGTCTATTTTGTTATCTGAAATACGATTTTTTCCCCTTCTTCCCTTTTCCACCATTCCGCACACCCCTGCCCCAAGGCATTTTGACTTACTCAGCTTTGCTCTGTCTCTGGGGTCTACCCCATTTTCTGTTGAGGAACAGGATACCTTGACTACAGGATACCAAACCATTCCTCACCCAAGGAAATGCTGGAAAATATAAAATCTTTCTGAATATGGTCTTTACCTTCTGAAGTCAATTGTAGGTTAGCTACTGACACCTATAGGACCAAGTCTCGACCTCTTCAGGCCCTCAGCATCTTGTCAGGAGTTACTCCTTCAGCTGCCTGAGAGCTCAGGGCATGGATAGCTGCCTTTCTGACCTCCCAGAACATCTAAACAGTGGTTAAGGGAAAAACAAAGCCCTATGCTAAGGAAGGAGGAGGAAGTTCAGGCTGTTTATGTGTGGTTATGATTTCCTTTGTTTTTTCCTATTTTGCATTAGTGCGATTTTTTATTTTTTTTTTCAAGTTGTAGAAAGCAGACTTCACAGTGCTGGCAATAATATTCACCAAATATACTAGGAAATATTTGTACCTTATTTTTCAGGGGTGCAGGGCTATACTTACCTGTTTTTGAAATCTGGACTTCTCTAAGAGGTACTAAGGCATATTATAGCATAGAAATAGAAGATAACTTTATACAATGCAAAATATGTTTTGGTGGCTTAAGTGGATAATTTTAGTGCTCAACAAGTAAAGACCCATTTCAAACTGAATCGGGTGTTCTCAAGCAGTGAATAAATCAACTGGTGGCTGTGTGGGAAGGGTGAGGTGCACACTTATGTGGACACTACTTTTCTATCTAGCTTGCTCTTTCTTTGATGGGTCCAATTTCAGATGTTTTTCTCTCCTGGTACACTCTCTGTATAGCTCTTTCATGCCTGTGGTCAAAGGCCTCTTCTTCCACTTTGCTGTCAAGTCCATGACATGTTTAGTCTGATTTCCAGATACTTCCTGGATGTGCATCTCCAAAAGAGACGTACAATACTGCAAACAATATGCTGGTCTTCAGTAATATATGTCTTTTTTTTTTATTTTTATTTTTTTCTGGGTTCCTCTTTAGAGGAGGGAGACCAAGGGTTTCTTTCTGGACTTTTCAAGCAAAACTCAAGCAAAATAAGTCACTGTTAACTTCTGAGACACAATTAGGTACATTTTTATCATTGTCTTTAGATCTGAAATTTGCTTTCTCTAAAAATGCTAGTTATGCCTCTCCTTGTGTCTGCAGCGGTAATGATTATACGAGTTTATTGCCAGGCAGATGAGTGACTGGAAAGCAATTTATATACATTTTTTTTTCCTCTGTTAATTACCAGATGGATCTACTAACTTGCCCTACTCTGAGGGCAGGAATTGGGAAAAGTGGGTGCATGCGTTTTTGCAGCACAGAATTTGAATTGGCTTAAGCCATTTTTAAAAACATACCTTTCTCATTCATAAATTTCCCCTTTTTAAAGAAAAGGATGGAAAATTGGTTGCAGGTGTAATCACAGTGCTTTACCCAGAAATCAGCTCATGTTTATTCCCTTCATGGAGGAGAGGGATTTCTGCATTCCATTGCTGAAAGTTGAGAGGTTATGACTGTCAAGTCAACGATTAAGTGAGTCCTGTATCTTTTCATGCTCTGTTTTCAATGTCATATTTTGAGAAGTGAGGCTACAGTATACATTTGTCAATGTAAACGGAGATTCTGTGTTGTTCCAAAAGCTGGGAGCAGGTAGAAAGCAGGGTAGACTGCAGTAACTAGAACACGTAGTAACACTGAGGTATTGTGATGCTATTTGTAGTCTATGAGGAGGATGGTGATGTGACACCCAAGCAGAAGAAACAGACTTGATTTGGCTAAAACCAAGAGAGACAGGCCAGGTAGGTGGTATAGCCAGCACTTACGAGCAGCCTTGTCAGGGTGGCACAAGGCTGCCTCTTTCAATCACTTGTAATTACATGTGTGCTTCATATTTTGCTGCAGCCTGGTTTTTAGAAGGGGGTTAAAGAAGATCTTAGCACCTATGTGAGCAAGCTGATCACTTTTAAAAAATAATTTAATTTCAAAATTGGCATGTGTCAAATACGTGAAACCTGGGGACATCACTTGGGTCCTTTTGCCTTTCCCAGTACTTGTATTGAGAAATTCACTCTGTTTTGCTACTGTCTTTTGATGTTTTGCATGCCAAAAGCTGAGTAGAGATGGCTTAAGGCATGGCTTGGAGCCCTTGCACGCTGGCATGACATCAGTGGGGAGGAATGTGGGATGCAGGTTTGCAAAGGTCTCAAAAGAGCTCTCGCTTCTTGCAGTGTGTTTGGCTTTCTGATGACCTAAAGCCATTCTCCACCCATCTATGAAGTAATCTGTCTCTGAGTTATTTGCTTGGATGCCAGTTAAAGTAAGTAATACCCTGGTGGTCTAATTGTTTAGGAGATTTGTTGAGATAACTCAGAAAGATTTTATTAGCACAGTGCTCGTAATAAAGCATTTTAACAGAAGTGAAAGGAACTAAGTTGTCAGAGCTGTACCGGGATCACCTCACTCCTTTTCTCTTGAGGTTACAATGTGCAGTGTGTGTTTTCTGCCTAAAGATATTAGACCCATTTTTCATGTTTTAGGGTATCATTTTCTTAAGCTGAAATAGAGATGTGCCTGGATAAGTATTTCCAGTGGGTCTAGGCATCTTCTAGGCATCTGGGCATATTTAAGAGCATCTTCTAATAATAATGCTTGTCGCTTTGGTTTGGGAGTGAGCTTAACACACACTTTATCCCTTTTGTCTATATGTTTGCAGTGTCTTCCTAGGCAGTGCTGGTTATATGCTTGCCATTGACTGTGCAATTAAAAGATACTATGTGTTTGTATAAAAAGTCAGTGACCTAGATGGAGCATTACAGAGCACTACTGTGCTCTTTAAAATTCATCTGTATGCTCTGAAGACTATTTCTATAGCACAAATTGTCTTCCTTGTATTATCTGTGCATCCTCTGAAGCAGTGCCAGTCTTCAGTCTTGGAGCTACAAAGCAATCTCTCATTATTTTGAGGCGTTCTGTAATTGCACTGTTCTTACTGTAAGTCATGGATGAAAGTCCCAGCAGAAGTAAAGCTGTAACTCTTTAAATTGTGCAATGCCCAAACTGTTATTTTTCCTAGGGGATAATCTGAAAGAAAAGAAATGTTTATATTGATTTCGAAATGTTTCAGTCCAGTCCCAAACCACTGACGTCCTAAAAACGAAATAGCAATATACCAACACCTCCTTGAAAAAAGGCCGTTCCCCAAGCATGTACTATCACCAGCCAGTTTGCCTGAATATTCACAAATAACAAATAAGAGCCACACGTCTCCTTGAACCAGAGAGCAATTAGGAAGCTTGAGTGAAAGTTTGCAGATGCTGGCTTTGCATCTTATGGCTTGTACATTCCTGTCTCAACATTTCTAAAAGGCTAAAGAAGAGTGCTAGATCAATCAGGGCTGTCAGCATAACCTAGTTGTCCTAACATCCTTACTTTTAGCTCTTAATGTTATTCACCCTGAATTCTATTTTAAGTATGTTTAAACAGTGAAGAAGAATTTCATGCCTTCTTGCTGAACCAGCAAAACCTTGAAATCTGTTATTTCTTTTTCCCAGTTATTTATGGGTAGAGTTGTCTCCTCCCCAGCACTTTACTCATGCATCCTGTAAATCCAGCAAAGAATCATGCAAGACAAAATAAATCTTGATTATTTACGAAAGCCCCTGATGGGGGCAGAAACTTCTGGTTTTAAACTTCTATTGTCTGTATTACTTCGCTACCTTTTCCCTTTTCCTCTTGCTCCAGGCGCCTTAGTTCTCTGCCTGACCTAACCTAATACATGTATGTTTCCTCCTTCCCTCTGTTCTGAAGGCTGCCGGACAGCAGATATGCTCTTGTATAGCAGAAGTGTCCCACGTTCAAGTATTGCAACCCATGGCTGCTTTTCCTGTAAGTCTACATGTTTTAAGTAACAATCAGCCATGAATCTTTGTTCTGCCCTAACAGACTGGGGTAAAGAGTGGCCAAAAAAAAAAAAAATGTTAAATGGAGAAGTGAGGGCTTATTGAACGGAGTTAAAAATGAAAATGGAGGAGTGTTCCGTAAAATTTGTGTTCTCTTAGTATGTGTGTAAGGGATTTGAGGATGTCTGCAGCATGTCTGTCTAAATGTCTGTTGTAATGGTTGCTGGTGTGCTGAGGAAGGCAGGGAGGACTTTGAACTGGGCTTTCAATTGGATGCCTTCCTTCTGTAGGCTGAAGGAGATGTCAAACCAAAGAACAGGAAAAATAACACGATCCTGAGAAGTATGTGGCTTTTGCCCAGCCACAGAATTCTGTATCACTTCTATTGTATCAAAGTGACACAAAATAAAAATGCAAAGATGCAATACATGTGAAGATGGACCCCGATATTTAACAACTAAATAGCTGCATGTACAAAGTTATCTTTTTCCCTCAGATATCAATAATAGAAATATTTTAATTCAGCTCAATATCATGATCCTCAGTAGCTTTACTGTGATAGAAAGAACTCCATCCAGGTTTCTTTCCACATGAAAACACCGGCACCTTTAGGCATGGGCAAAGTATTTCAGCATTTAGGGCAGCAGCTGACTAAATAGCATGTTTGCTCTGCTCTTGCTTGTAACTTTACAGGATTGCTGCTGTGCTGCTAAGGGAGGGAGTGGAGTTGTTAGGGCAGGATCTGGCTGTCAGTGGGAATCAAACTGGCCCGTGCAGGATGCGCAATATAAAAAGAATAAGCAAAAGGAAATAACTATGAGTGCGAAGTAGAAAGCATTAGCACTGCCCAAGAAGCCCAATTTAATGCTACAGGAGAAAAATTTCCACCCTTAAAGAAACATTCATTGTATTACTTTAGCAGATCTCCTGCCTCCTGACACTGTACGAATACATTGTATTTTTATTTTTTAATATTGCATTGACCTGCACTAAATCATAAAACCTTATTTTTTATTTTTATTTTTTATTTTTATTTTATTTTATTTATTTTTATTTTTATTTTTTATTTCTTACCCTGAATAACTAAATACCTGTCTATGATTTACACTTGATGAATGTGGGCAAGAGGTGGAAAGAAAGCTTCCAGCAAAGGCTGGGAAAAAGGGCCTCAAGCACAAGGAACTCCCAGCAGGAATGGAGGCAAATCTGCTAAGTGTGGCTGTAAGCCCTGGAGTGATCCAGCCCAAGAGCTCTGCTGCTGGAAATTAAGTCAGCTCTTCAGCTGGTGTGGATTTGCATGTGTGAATTGTTCAGGTGTACTCTTCTTACATACTCTCACTAGTGCTTCTAAAAGAAGAAAGAAAAGTTCACTTGTGGGTGTAAGAGTTTTCTTTAAATCCCTGATCTTTTCCCAACTGCAAATCAAGGTATAGTTTCAGATTTTGTTTTCTTATCTAGTCACAGGGTTGTTCCCTAACACAATGGTTAACAGACTTTCAAGGTGATCCAGCAATACGCAAATATTTTACTTTAATCCACTAGACTACTAATTTAAAGGTAGAAAGGCACCAGCTTCTGGCATTTTGTTGCTGCAATTTTCCACCTATTGTCAGCTGTACTTGCAAGCCACTTAGGATTTAGTTGGCAAGGGCAAAATCTTGCTTGCATACTGTTTCTTATGTAACAGAAATTAGAAGGTCAGCTTGCATTTGTGTATCAAATTTGTGATCACCCAACTATGGGGTAATGTCAACCTCTTGAGCCTCCCTGGCTGGTGTAGAACTCTTTTAAGAAGTGCTAGATAATGTGATTGTCTCTGCACTAGGTGAAATCAGGCTTTGCCATGCAATAGTGCTGCATGTAACCTGTGGTGCCCACTAGCTATACAGGAGGCTGTTAAGACATTCTAGTAGTTTTGTGTCTTCTCTTGGCAGTGAGAGTGCATTTGTAACCATTCCTATCAGTAATACGCTGCATTTTTAACATATCCTGTTAAAAATATTGTTTGAAACCAGGTAGGTGAGGTGAGAAATGCTTACCAAATATAGGCGAGCTGTCTGGGTTTCAAAATTCATCTTCCATTGAAATTAAACTCATCTGTCATTGAAAATCCCTTCAAAACAGATGTCAGCACGTAAAATTATTTTTGGACTTGTCTGGTGTATTTGCAATTGCAGCAAAATGAGATAAGATTTAATGAGTTGTTTTGAAATGGAAATATATTTATGTTTAAACAAAACAACCAAAATACTACTCCAGCAAAGTCTGAATAGCCTCATTTACTCATTAAGAATACTTTGGTTGTAAGGATGAGATGACTTGTACCTGACTTTAAACATCTAAAAATTGTTTGCTTAAGGAAAGTAAGTACCTTTTCAAAGAGTATACCATAAAGTTGCACAACATCATTTTGCTAATTTGGAAGCAAGGTGATTCTGTGCAATAAGCTACATGTATCTGTTACAGTGTTATTTCACATGTATTTGAATAACTCCTGTTGCGTTCACATAATCAAATGCATTAGTAATTAATAAAGGGAGTAATTAATTAAGTAATTAAGGGAGTATTAATAAAGTAATAAAGGGAGATGAGGTTTCCCCTTCCCACAGTGTATCACCAGTCTGCTACCTGACAGGGTGGGCCAAAGAATCTGGTTTTTCTAGTCTGATACTGTGATGAAAATAAACAGGCCTTGGGGTAAGTGACTGCTGGAACATATTCTACCCATTTTCTTCACAACTCAGCACATTTGAAAAAAGTTTAATAACCAGATTATGTGCGTATAGGCAGTCCTGACGCAGACTTTCCCTCGAACTTTTCCTTTACTTGAACTTTTCCTTTAGTTAAAACTACCAATTGTGCAGGCATTGATTACTCTATTAATGGTTGATGTTAAAATTAGTTGCGAGTTATTTTTCTCAGCCAAATAATATTTCATCATAATTTCTTGATCTCTTCTGTATCACTATAGTGATAAAATCAGCTGCATACATTGTACTAAATATTATCTAGAAGTCAGTACTGAGATGTTTGACTTCACTGAATGTGCACGCTGAGGACATTTTCACATCTGAGTGATTCCAACATCCTTTGACTAGCATCTTCCAGAACATATTGCAAAAGGAAATGAAAACCTTTTTTGTGTTACATGAGAAAAGTAAATTGCTCATTGGATACTGTATCCTGTTTTGGGTACCAGTACAGGAAAGATTGTAAACTGAGGTGAATTCAGCGGAGGACCACCAGGATGCTGGCTCCTGGAGCACTTGCCAAGGGAGGAGAAGCTGAGGAGATGGAATTTGTTCGGCCTTGAGAAGAGACAGCCTTGGGGGGATATCCCAGCAGCCTAGCCTCACAGTACCTACAAGGAGGTTATTGAGAAGATGGAGCTCTTCACTGTAGTGCAGTGTAGGAGGGATGTAAGTTTAAACATGAGCTCAACTGGATATAAGAAGTCATTTTTCCATAGTGATAGTGCAGTCTTCATCCTTTCATATCTTCAAGACCATATGGGATGATGCCCTGAGCAGTCTGGTCTGATCTCAGAGTAACCCAGCACGGAACTGAAGCCTGGAACCAGAGACATCCAGAAGTCCTTTCCAATCTGAATGGTCTTATGAAAATTAGATTGGAAGCAGCCTCTGGAGGTCATCTAGTCAAAGTTCTGAATATCTCCATGCATGGAGACTCCAAAATCTTTCCAGGTAACTTGTGCTATTGTTGGATTACTCTCAAGTGTGACAAGACTGCAGATAATTGGGATTTGATGAGTTTCATGTCTCTAAACAAAAGTTTTGGTAAAGTAGGTCAAGATGGAGTCAATTTAGATAGAGTAGGTAGAATCAGTATAGGTGATGTGGCATGAAACTTCAAGGTACTCTTAAGAACTCAAATAAGATAAATTTGCATGTTGTTGATGTTACCACTGCTGACCTGACAAATTAAATTGTCTTTCATGTGTTTAGATGTATTATCATTGTACACTCATTTCGTTTTGTCTCTGTTTACTACTGTCTCCATGGTTATATAAAGCTATTGACACAATGGATTCATGGTAGACCTTCAGCTCAAGAGAGGCTGGAAGTGAGTAAAGTCTGTGCAAACATTTTCCTCAAGTGGTGCCAATTAAGTGCCAGTAGTTGCACCTCATGTTGGAGTTGATATATATTTATTGGGTATGGAGAAACACCAGAGGAGTTTTTAATACCTCAAACAGTATCCAGGATAGTAGGTCCAAGTGCCAGGGGTGTTGGACTGGCACTTCAAACAAGTTTTCACAGTGGAAGCAGTATGTACATCTGGAAGATTGTATTGTGTGAGCTGCATTGCACTAAAAATGTTTTTTCTGCAGTAAAACTAACACATAGTTTAACAAGTCATTATGTGGTATCTGGGAGAAAAACAGTGGAAATGCAGAGATTGGGAATCATTTCCATAATATTCATTAATTCTTTCCTTTGAAGTAAAAATATTCCAAATGGTAGTAAATGTCCTTAAACTGTTTTGGCACTAGCAGCCAACCTGTGGTGTCTTGAAAGTCATTGCTGCATATGAATAGATGTGAGTAGATAATTTAAAGCAGGGGTTTATAGCTCCATAGGGATAACAAATAAGAAAGCAAAACAATGGCTTTGCGTAAGAGCCTGTTAAAATCCTGTAAGAGTTTTTCTATAAATAGTATGTTGTTTCTCTCAGTCATCTGAGGAAAATATTAAATCCAGAAGGGCTGGCATAAAAAAATCCTGACTTACGACGAATATATATATATATTTTTTTTCCCTAAGTGATGATGAGTATGATCACTAATTAGGGTTGTTTAAGGGTGGTCATTGATCTGGGAGATAGGAAAGGTAATGCTTTGTAATTGATAGTTTGCATATTTTGAGTGACCCTATGAGAGTCTGGCATGGGAGAGAAAGCACAGCAGAAGGAAAGGGGAGTATCAGCCTTTTCGCAGCAGCTGGCTGTGTTTGTGATTTAGTGGCAATGCTGTCACGCCTGCAAGGACAAGCAAACAAGGTGCAAAGGTAGATTCAGTATCCCCTAGGAGACCGATTACTGTAATTGGGGAAAAATTGACAAAGGTTTGGTGAGACACGCTGTTCTTGAGGTTTTAATGAGGCAGAGCTGCTGATTGCTTTTAGCTCATTAAAAGGATTAGCTGGCAATAGGTGCTCCAGAATTCAACTGTTTTGTTTCAGGTTTGACAATCTGGGCTTCTAAAAAGTATCTGGAAAGTGCCAAAGGTCTTATTTGAAGATCATGAAAAAAGTGGGAATAAATAGATATGTTAGTACATATATGGTTTGTGAGTAGTATGTGAGGTTTATGAGTGCTTGTAAGCTGGAAGAGACGAAGGTTCTTGGAGACAATGTTGGGATCCCTTGCTAATAGAGTTAACCCAAGAAGACTTGAGTTTATATGAGTACCTAGACATCTGCCCTCTAAAGACAAAAAAGTAAAAATAATTACGTAGATCAGTTGCTGAGACTGGAAATCAGTGTTTTTTTGTTTGTTTGTTTGTTTGTTTTGTTTTTCAGTAAGAAGCTGCAAAAAGGGTAGGAGATAGTAAATTTTCCTTCACTCTCTCATTACAGATAAGAATTGGTCCATTTGTATGCACCCTCAACTCTGCACAGATCCTTCAATGAGATGTGTGTACCAACCACATCTGAAAACACTTTCCCTTTATATTACTTTGTGCAACTTTACCAAAAACAACATTTTTTTTGCCCATTGCAGCCTAAAATCTTTCTTTGCTGCTTTAATGCACTAAGTTGAACAGACTTCAAGGCTAAGGTGTTATAAAACAAATGAAGAAAGACAGCTGTAATGAAAGGATTCCCTTTCTTTGGCCAATTAATATTGCTGAGATTTAGGACTTGCCTATTCAGGAACATTCAAGCCATAATCTGAATTAACTAAAAATATGAATTTAACGTGTATTAGTCAAACTGCAGTTAGTCTTTAGGTGGTTAGTCACAGTCAGAATTAAAGTGGCCTTAATTTGATATAGTTAGCTTCATTCCCAAAGTCAAATTAACATTATCTGACTTCTGAGTAGAGATTTTATTTACTCTGATTTAAAAGTTAATTTCTTGACTGTCCTTGTTTACAGAGGCTCTTGATAAATACAGCAGCTTTAATAAGTTATTTTTGTCCTGAGCTGATTGAATCACCAACAGTGGTTATTCCCAGCTTCTGAGATGTGCTACCTGGTTTTCAAGATGTAGAGCCATCAACCATCTCCTTTGAGGAGGAAGGAGGGAGGATTACCATAGGCAAATCTTCCCCATTTTCTAGAAATTTCTTTCACAGGCAGGTGCTCAAAGCATTTTCTTTTTTGTCATAGAGCACCTACGTTTTCTGGGACTGTGAATAATTACTGGAATTATACTCTGAAGATATTTATAAACTCTGATTTATTTCTCCTGAGTCACTTGGCAATCTCTACAGCATCACTTGTTTCATAACTTCCTACCAACATGATTTAGTTAATGTTTTTGTATTTGCCTTTGCAAAAGCATAGCGTTATCACTGCTCTCTTCAAGGTGCAGGCTGCTTCCAGGATGTATTCAAGGTAGTGTTAATGAGTGAACCTCAAAACTTGCAGATTGTCAAAGAATTTTGGATAATCATCGGAAAGTCTGGATGTTTATCTGAACCTTATTTAAACCACACAAGCCTCTTGGGTTTGCAAATTTAGGTTAGAAACATTTTAAGTAAGACTCCTGGTATTTCCTGTTTCTGACAAGGCCAGATATGCTCAAGTGTTTCTTTGAGGTGATATTTGCCTCCTGTTTTTACTACTGTTATGGGGTTATCAGGCCGCCAGTTCTTGGATTCTGGTTCAGGAAAGGATTTAAGCATGTTCTTGGTCTCAAGTATAAAGCAAAACAACAAAGACTAGAGACTGTGCTTTTAAGGAATGAGATAGACAATAGGAAAAAAAAATTCAGAGGCAGAAAAGTTATGACAGCTGGTGTGCATGTGACTGATCTGAGGCAGCAAACATCTGTAGATCATGATCCCTTGATCAGTTTGTGGGAGAAGAAGAAAGTTACTTACAAAAGACAAGTTAAATTAAAAGATAAATTAAGAGTGCAAATGAAAACGAGAAAGTGCCTTTATGTTCAACTAATGGTTTACATTAAGGTTTACCAAGAAAGGGGGAATGCAAATGTTCTATACAAAAGTATGGAGACTGATTAAAAAAACACATTCACCTATGTCAAAGATCAGAATGTAGTAAATCTAATCTTAAAATACAAAAATGTGCAAACTGTAAGGGCTACATACCACACTTTTTTTTTTTTCTCTCTCTCTCTCTCTCTGAAATGAGCTTGTCTTCTTAATCAGGCCTTAGAATTCAGGACAAGTTATTCAGATTTTAGGAAGTGCTTTGAGCAAGGACAGTGGTATCTCCTGAGCTCCTAATGCAACCATCCTGGCTGAGGCTTTGTGGAAGAAATATGCAGGTGTAGGGCAAGATACTCATCTCAGCCAAACAGAGAACAAAACCTTTGGTAAGGAAAGACATTTTCTTTGTAAATCTAATCAAGTCTGAAAAGCAAGTTAACCATTGAAGTATCTGAAAGTTGCCTTTGAACTAGAATAGCTTTCATGTAAACTCAACTTGTCTTATATGTGATAAAGTAAATAACTTTTTACCGAATGCATATTATTTTAATCTTTGTCCTTGAAGTTAACAAATTAACTTTCTCTGTGATTTCCCCATTTGTGACAGCCTCTGGCTGTGTTTTTACTGTCGTAATAGCTTCTGGCAGACTGTGTGTCTCTCACATTCACTACAAAGTAAACAGGAATTCTTTCCAAGGGTAACTGGCCAGGCTCCAGTGGAAGAATGCAAGTTATTCATAAGTTCTGGTAGGCTCATTTCTGCTTAATATGGTCTGTTTTTATAGTGGATTTTATGAAGGAAAAAAAAAGTTGTGAAATATTTTTAAATCCCTGTAGATTATTTTCTTCAAATGTGTGGGAAATCACGCCCTCTCCAGCACATAACTACATTGCCATTTGTCCTGCCTGTGTTAATCTTTTTTCCACCTTCAGTCACAAGAGGCTAAGCAGGCAGGAGGTTACGAAGATGTGGCTAAGACATGTCGTACTATTTTGAGAACATAATTGATGCTGCAGACATGCACAGTGATCCATCGTGGTTCTGGTGAAGGTCTGCTGGAGTGTCAATGGCATTGTCTGCCCTGCAGATTCCCCTTCCCACGCACAGGCAGCAGCAGTAGGAATTTCTTTATGCCTAGAATAACCTGGTAGAAAGGGAAGAGAAGTATTTTACGGGTTCACGCAGATTCACTATTATCAAGACAGATCATGGTCAGGGGAATCGTGCTCAGTGCCTGTGTCTTTCATGGCATGTGGCACCAGCAGGTCTTGCGTACCCATGCAGCAAATCTTGGTTATTGAGCTTTTCCTGCTTTTGTCTGTTTTGGTCTCTTGGGCTTCTGGGTTTACTTTGTGGTTCTTTCTGTTCAAATGAGCTGAGCAGCCCTTCAGTGTTTTCCCAGGGACTTGTGGGAGTATGTGGGATCATTCCTGTCTACAAATGGAGCTGGGGGGTATGTATCAGCAGGGGAAGAGCTATAAAGCTGAAGGCAGATGTTGACATAAGAACAAAAGGATATGCATTGTCCAAACATAAGCTGGAAATTGGATGGAGGCTTCTAAACAGAGTAATGAGGTTCTTAGAAGAATTAGGAGAAGCAAGGTTTTAAGAGGGACTGGATGCATAATGAAAGGGATTATATAATAATTACACAAAAAGTACTGTTTGTGGCAAAAAGAGACTGGATTTGATGGCTCTGAAGCAATGAAATAACATTCAGAGCTTAATTTCCTCATCTTTCCTGGGTAAACAAGAACAACTATAGAACTAGGCTATAGCTGAGGACTATCAGCACTTCACTTTGCAGAATGAGTGGATTGTTAAGCCAAGTAAAAGTGTTTTCAAGCCTTTTGCCAACATATGGGATAAATGAGCTGGTTGTAATTGGAAACAGTGCTACACTCGAGTCAATAGATTTGCACGGGTATGGGTGTAGAATTTAGGACGTTTCATCAAAACCAGTAGTAATTTGTGTATTTTGTTTTAATATTCCTATTCTTAAATTCACTATTAAATGAATATTCATTTTTAAATGCTCTTCACTTACAAGTGAATATTCCTGGTTGAAGTAAACAATGTTTTATAATAACTTTTAGTATGAAATTCTAAGCTTCTTTACCATCAAAACCAACTTAAATATAGCAAAATTCATGCTATAAATTGTATCTATTTGTTTTTCTGTATAGGCAATATTGAAAACGTGGATTTCTCCAAGATCACACCAGCAGACCTATGTTAAGGTGAGCAAGCAGAACCTTTTAACATGAGATTTTTAGGTGGAAGACACCCTGTAGCAACTACATGCAGTGAACGATGGGCATCAAAATTAGTGTGCTATTTGTCAGGACCTGATGGTAAGCCTCATGGGATATTTTGTGATTAACATGGATAGCAGCTGAGCAGAGAATGTTTTTGTGTGTTTTTTTTTTTTTTTTTTTTTTTTTCCTCTTTCCAGCTGCCCTTTGGTTAGGGTTGAATAGACAGGTTAACTCAGTTCAATTTGTTCCAATCACATCTCTTCCCATTTTCTGTTTGTCCTTTGACTGTTCAAGTGCCCATCTTTTGTTTCCACTAATGCTCAAAGAGGAGATTTTAATTTCACATGAGAGAGCATATTGATGTGTGATGCCAGGGATTACACCAGAATTGCTGGCATACTCAACTCTGTTTTGGCTGCCTGTATGTATTTGGAAATAAGGGTATTAAAAAGGAAGGGGAGACTATTCATCCTAATGCTTAGCTTTATGTGGCTCTTTTAAAAGTTCAAAGCACTGTCCAGACATCATCTAAATAATCTCATGGTCTTTTCAGGAATGTAAACAGAGTCTCTGACACTGAAGCAAATTGCTCAAGGGCGGGAGTGGGAAGCTCCACTTCTCTTAGCGCTGCTTACTTTCTAAAGTTACTGGTAAAAATCCATTTCCTTGGCTATGATATGGACAGCAGAATGAATGAGGAAGGGATGCTAAGCAAGAAGGCAAGGTGAAAGCAACTCAGATTATTAGATATCAGAAGAGTTCCCTGTGGTTAAACATTAATACATATAAAACTGCTAATTCGTGCTAAGCAAGCCTCCTTTTTGACACATTTGTTTATAAGGAGGTGAGTTTAAAGAAAATAAGGTAGACCGATGTTTCCATTTCACTGAATGACGAGAGTGTAACCAAATATGTAAAATGCTTATGATACACAGCTGGAGAAAAGAAGAGGTAGCCAAGAGACAGGAGGAGTACTCCTAGCATTGTGCTAAAGGAAGGGCAATATTTCATTGCTTTTCAAGGAGAAAACCAGAGAAGCCGATGTTGTGGTACTAATGCATTGTTTTTAAATATCATTGCAAATGCAGTATCCCACAAAGCTGACAGGATTCCTTATACCAGGACATTTTGAGAAGCCTGATTTATGTATTTATTTTTAATTTAAGAACATATATGTAACTCAAAATGTATGAATAGTGTCCTCAGTCTACCTTGGAAGCAATTCTGTATCATTTCCGCTGGTAGAGCACTAACTCAGCAGTGCCCATGCCGGGGAGCGGTGGAGATCACGTCTTTAGGCACAAGATTTTTGTGTCATAAAGTTTTATCCAAAGGTGGTCACAGGTCAAGCAATGTTTTTATTCCTCTGCCCCACCTCTGTCATATTGCAAAGAACAGCAGATAGGGGTAACTTCATACATGGGCGATGTTCTCTTTCTAAAGTTTTGGGAATCAAAAATATTCTTGAGTCATCAAGCTACACCAAAGATGTGCTTAATTAAGGATTGGAACTACACTTCTTTTCTTGTTAAACTGACTGAAATACATTTCTAATAATTTCAGTAAAAAATAGGGGTGGAAGTGTGTACCATCTGACAAGACTATGACTCAAAGGGGCTTGGTGAGCAGAAATGTAATGCTTTTTCAACTGTTATAAATTAAGTCTCAACTCAATCTGAATTTAGTAATATTTATAAAAGAATATTTATAAAAGGAATATTTATAAAAGGCAAGTAAACAGCGCTGGGTGTGCGGGGAGTCTACGCTCCACCAACACGTGCACACGATCAAACTTTCTAAATATACAGAACATTGCTTTTACAGGGGTGCAGGTGTTGGGGGTGCTTCTGTCATAAAACGTTAGGTATTGGCTTGGGGGGCTGTTTCTGTCCACATGTTGGGGGTGCAGGTGGGTGTTTTGATCACAAGATGTTAGGGGTGTCTCTAAGATGGTGGGCAGAGGTGCCGCCACAAAATGGCACCCGGGAAAGAGTAATCTGAACCCATGCCGGCCGGGAGTCTGTGAGAGTCTGTCGTACCGCAGGGCCACGAGCACACTGCCGGGTGGGCGGGGCTTCGGCAGCTGAAGGGACGCTGCCACATGCGCCCTGCTTCCTCCTGCCCAGGCTTACCCTTCGTGACGCGACGCCCCCCCTGGCTGGGGGCTCACACACCCGGGCAGGCCTTCACAGAATCACAGAATTTCTAGGTTGGAAGAGACCTCAAGATCATCGAGTCCAACCTCTGACCTAACACTAACAGTCCCCACTAAACCATATCCCTAAGCTCTACATCTAAACGTCTTTTAAAGACCTCCAGGGATGGTGACTCCACCACGTCTCTGGGCAGCCTGTTCCAATGTCTAACAACCCTTTCGGTAAAGAAGTTCTTCCTAAGACCCAACCTAAAACTCCCCTTGCACAACTTAAGCCCATCTTCCGCGAGGAAAACATGGCAGCCGCCCCCCCCTCAGGCACCCTGTAGCCTCGGCAGTAAGCTTACCCCGGCTCCGTATGAGTGCTAAGCGGGCTATATAAAGGCTCGCGCTGCGGCTGCTTAGGTCAGGGCGAGGTACCCAGCATGCACCGCACCGCACCGCATGCTAATGAGACCACGCCCCTTTCCCGGCGAGCGGCCGCCGTGGGGGGCTCGGGGTGCCGTAGGGCGCTGCCTTCTGCTGGGCACCGCCAGCGAGCCCTGTGGGGCTGGTACCCACCTGTGACCAGCTGTGGGGTATTCGCTGTTCTCCTAAAACCCACCAGGAGCGACACAAACCCAAGCACACCTGGGTCTGCTTCCACCAGGGTCCCCTGCACCTCAAGGTCTGCCTTACAGGGCAGAAGCGACCCGATGCTGGGATGGACCCCACGCGTGTGTGGACCCCACAGGGTGCCCTGGATACCGGTGCTTGTAGGGCAGCCCTGCTGTGAAGACTTTACCTCACCTGCTTTGTGGCACTAAGCACTTTTTGCTGCCTTCCCCTCTTTTGGGCTGGTTTAAATAGGCAGCACTCACCTGGAGCCTTAAACATCCTACACCTTTTTGGGATTGTATGTCATAGCTGTTATAAATGAAGTCTCAACTCAATCGGAATTTAGTAATATTTATAAAAGGAATATTTATAAAAGGTATAAAAGGCAAGTAAACAGCGCTGGGTGTGCGGGGAGTCTACGCTCCACCAACACGCACACACAGATCATCAAACATTCTAAATATACAGAACACTGCTTTACATACTAAACCCGAGTATGCCTATACATACGTACAATCAGAAAAGGTAACAATCCTTTAAGTTCCATGACTTAACAGTCTCCATTTTCCATTCCTTTTGAACAATATGTCTTGCTCTAAGTTGTCAAGCAACTCGGTCTTCAGGCCTTATGTATCCCGTTCTTCACAGATTGAAGAAAAACATATCCATCTCCTTTTCAAGGCCAATAGGGCCTGGGTCAAAAGGCACGTCCAGGTCACCAGGGGGCAGAACAGCAAAAGCCTTCGATGGCTGTAGCAGCAGAGGGGCCCATGGCGTAGCAGTCGGATCAGTAAAGGAGCCCGCAGCTCCCTCACTGTCTGGCAAACCACACGTTTGTGACTGCGGTCCCACAGGGCTCTTCAAGGCCTCAGAGACTGCTCGCCAGGTACCGAGCAATCCCACTGCAACCTTGTCGGTTTTAGTTGCGGAGTCCCACCTCTTGACCTCAATTTGGTCCCATATTTCAGGATCATAAACTGTCTGATTGCTAACAAGGAGAATAAGCTGTGAGGCTACCAGGACAGTCTTTGTTCCTAAGGACGTATGGTTCCCCATAATGCCCGGCTGCTTACCAGCGAGGGGCAGTTGTGTACCCGGCTCCGCTTCTCTCAGCTCGAGCTTCTCCCCAGCTCCGGTGCGCCTGTTTCCAGCAACTTTCAGTACGAGCTTCTCTGAGCGGTTTGCTGAGTTTGGCCAAACCCATCTTCATGAGGCAATCAATGTGCCTGTTCCCGTCCTGGTCTCTGTTCTGCTAGCCTGTTCCTTTTCATTCCTTCTTTCTGCTTCTTTATTGATGCCATAACTTTACCATTTTTTTTTTTTAAATTATTATTATTATTTTTTTATCTTGTGGCCAAGCTCCCTTTCTTATACCCTTCTCCCTACAGCAGTTCTTTTCAAAACAACTTCTCATTGGTCAAACAACTTTGCAAATAACAGCAACAGCAAACACCCAGAAACTTCCATGCCTTAACCGCTGGAGAACAAGCAACCCGAGACTGCATGGAGTCTCCTGAATCACCCTTCTTAGTTCCCTCTAAACTCTTTTACATTCCTGATGGCCTCATGGTTAAGAGTCTGATGTTATCATTAACCACGGGGCTTTCCGACCCCCATGGCCACACTCCCACATCTCCCCCTTCTTTATTAATATCAACCTTTTTCTCAACACAAATTACCACTCCATATATAACACAACCTACACTTTTGAGACAGAATCAGTGGTTAAATTCCAAAGTTCAGTTTGGCTTAAATGTTCAGGTGAGTCTGGACTGAAACTCTTGAAGCAGTTGGCTGGGAAAATTGTCAAGCCATCAAGATCAACTTTTCCATCAGTCTGTTTTTGACCTGTCTCACTTCTGCATGTCCCCAGACAGTGCTGTTTGCTGACTTTGATGGATGTGTAAGCCCAAGGAGATGTTGGTGTCAGTTCAGTGCTGCCACTACTCTGTGATGTTCTCTGAAGGTTGTTTTTTTTTTTTTTTTTTTTTTTTTTTTCCCCCTTTTCTCTTGACTTACATATCTTTTCTTTCCACAGATCGTCACTCTTTTGCTCTCCTATTAGAGATGAGCTAATAGTCATATATGTGACAGGCTGTCCTGTTGCTTAGATAGGTCCTATCTCATTTTTCTTTAAAAAAAAGAAAAAATTAATTTCCACAGAGCTAACACAAAAGGTCACTGGATTGCTCCTTTAGAAGTGCTTTGCTCTCCCTCTCCCTGCTTCTCTTTCTACCCCCGTGGTTTCTTTTCAAAGTATAATAAATTCCTTTCCTTGTTCTGGGTGTTTTTATTCACTTATAAAATTGACTAATGAATCCTTTGTATAAGTATTAACCTGATCTTTCAAGCAATAAATCGGAATAGAAAAAAAATGACAAACCCTTAGTCCAGGTTTCTGTATTTCATACAAAACAGTTAATAATATAATATTTAAAGCACAGCATTTTCCTGTCTCAGCTGTGCTGTTACTTTAGGTGTTGCCTATCAGCTCTTTGAAACCAGAGCTTTGAATTAAACTGTTGGCAGACATGGGTGTCCCTGGCAAGAGATGACAGGAGGGAGGTGTAATCTAATAAATGTAATGGCTCATTTTTAATCATTTAACCATCTCAAAACCTTGGTGTTATTTTGATGGTCTGTCCAATTCTGTGACAAAGGAGCCAGCTCTTCTGCTGTCTTGTGTTCTTCCATTCAAATCATGCAGCATAAATGTTTCCAACTTGCATGGGTTTTTAAATGTAAAATTTGATGAAGTAATCCTTTTCTTACCAGATGGATACTGTAACAGGATCCTGTTATAGAGATGGTACAGTGTTGTCATAGTTACAAAATTTTCAGTCACAGCAGATTTAAAGAAAGATTTTTAAAAAGTGGCTTCTTCCAGATACCTCTAAAAGGTATCTGGAAGGTATCCCATTCTGCAAGTGGCCATTCTCTCAAAATCAGAACCTTGGAACTTAATCATTTTGATAAACACTTCAGAAATAAAACAAACGGAACAAAAAACATTTCCCCTTCAGGAAGCTTTTTTGATAAATGACTTTCAGTCCCTAGAAAGCACATTTTTTTCCTGTTTGAGGTATGGGAAATTGAGTCCTTTCTAAAGGACACTTTCCTTGTGTTTTCATACAGCTGTTGCCTTTGCAGCATAATACATTCGAGAGAAGACCTAGTGCCCAAGACAGACCTGGACACCAAGGACAAGTCTGTGTGCTCCTGTGTTTTCTTAGCCATTAGTACCAGAGAGTGCCTAAGAACAGATCAGTTATGTTTATCAATTATAGCACGGACATAGGCTGAAGATAGGAAATGGATGTAAAAGATATACCAGCACGAAGTGGAGGAGTTTGGCATAACTGTCATCAGAGTGGTAAAAATCCTGTCACTTTGGAGCTCCAACAACTGTTTAAAGCAAATTACAAATGACAGTAAATAAAAATTAACGTATCCTTAAAGAGCTATTTAGATCTGTCTCATTGTACAGCAGAACAAATAGTTTTGCCCTGTAAATACTATCTGTTGATATGTGTTGTTTCTTCTTGAGAAAATCATTAGAAGACTAGGTTTCTTCTGCAGTACAAAAAGCTTATACTGTTGCTTTATATATTTACCAAATACTTTCTAAAAAGCGTAAATTGTACTAGAGAATTTGCTTGGCATTGATAGACAATTCTCCTTTGTAAGTTCCTCAATGAGAATAATTTTTGGGCTGTTACTGTTTTTAAATCAAATTAGTTTAAAACAAAACAAAACCAACAAGAAACCTCACTTGAGAGGAACATAAACATGCCTGTTTAGTTTCTCAGAGTTATTTTTATTCTGAAGGTAGCCTTAGTAGAAGATATCAGTGTTTGTTTTTCAGCACTTTTTTGCACAGTTGCTGAACGTTTCTTGTCCTGCTTCCCTGGGTATGCCATGAAGGAGCAGTTCCCAGAGAGAGTTCAGTTCCTGTTTGGCCTTTATTTCGTTAATATTTATGTACACAAACATACTGACATGCCAAACAATGGATCTTCATACAGTGCACCAACACACACAGGCATACATGCTGCCAACATATTGTTTTCTTCGTGTCAGGAAACAATTTCTGAGCTTACTTTGCAGTTAGCTGGGAAATAACGAAAAGCTTTTTATTCTTCTGCTTCAAATCTTATCCCTAGGTGGAGTCAGGAAGATATTTCTAACTTGTTTAATTGGGTAAGTTCATCACTGAGTATGGGGATTGTAGGAGGAGTGGTAGGACTTGACTGGTTTTAATATTGGCTCCTAAAAGAAACAGGTTTTCTAATAGGATTGAAGACTGATCTATTACCCTGTTTTTACAGGAATGCTCTCTCCTGTTAAAACCTTCTCACTTGAGGAAGAACGGGAGTAACAGGAGCCAGCTTTCCCTCTTATTTCCTCCCAGTGGTGTAAGTGTAGCTTTTCATAAGCAATTATTCTCATTTTTAATGCAAAAGTTAAATTCAGAACTGTGATGTGATGACTAACTGTCATTTTGTCTTCAAGCCATTAAAGGTTGAAGTTTCTCGGATGAAACAATGTGGCCAGCTTTTGTTAGGACTGATATGGTTGCCCTGCCTCTGCTTCCAGCAGCTTTCTAAAAATGTTTATTCAGAAACTTTGCTCCAGGCGTCTTCCTGCAAGTGGAAAAGCTCTTGTAGCCCCACACCACATTGCTCTTCCTGAGCTCCTGAGTGCTGGGTCTTGGGTTCTGCTCAATGTTGGTGTTACTTCCCAAAGAGCAGGAGAAACGCTTTGTCTCTGTCTCTCGTAGCAGATATGAGTTTAACCCTCAATTCCTTATATCTTGATTTGTTCATTGTTCAAGAAATTTTAAAAAGTGTTTCTAGAAGTGTGATTAGGGGAGGAAAGAAATCAGTATGTTTGACTGCCAGGGTCTCTGCTAACATGACAGTGATCAGTTCAACTTGCAAGCAAGCTGGTGCTTTGTGTACAGGAGCTTTAAATTGAGAAATGCAATAGCAAATTAAATTTTGAGGGCTTTGAAAGAACAACATGATTAGTTAAATCTGCAAGGGCAGTGAGAGGAGGCCCCTCTTGAGAGGTAGTTAGGAGGTTTTTAGAAAGAGACCTGCAATCATTGTTAGACTTGTTGAAGTCAGCAGTGCATAAGGACCAGCAAGCACTATGAAGATGTTTCTCATGCTGACTGCCCCATCAGTTGACCAGTTTTTGGCACCCTTGTAAGTATTCATGGCACATTGTGTACATGAGGCATCACAACACTAATCATTCCACCTTGGTGAAAGGGGGAGTGTGGCTCTAAAGGTGGATACAGATCCACTCTGATTGGGGAGAGCTATGTGCTGTCGTATGTGATTGGAAAGTTCACTCTGTGCTGTGGTGTGACTCAAGTCCTCCCCTCAGAGTAGAACGATGGGTGCTTCCTGCATCCACTAGAAGTGCTTCATTTTCCCAAGACAAGTGCTGTGGGTGTGCACCATGACCATTCATCTGGAACTTCTGGAAAAGATGGACAGATAAAGAAAGATGGTTGAAAACTTAGTGCTGAGAAGGCCAGTTTTATTCAAAGACCCCCTTTTTCCTCTCCTCTTCTTCCATTCCAGATTCTCCTTCATTAAAGCCATGCCTGGTTCATTCACCTCAGGGTGGATGTACTGTAGCACCAGTGTGGACAAAGTCTATGTTTAAGCTTGACCTGCTGCATCAATTGACAGTTTTATCATCTGGAGCCATCAAACTAGTACAGTTTAAATGAAACTCTGATGTAATTATCTGATGTAATTAAAAGCTAAAAAAAAAATTAAAAAAATAGTAAAACTGTGTCACTGTGTTGTGAGACCATCTTTCTATAAAACTAATTAAGTTATTCAAATATCCTCCAACCTCAGGCAAAGTAGTTCTAAATGCAGATTGAGCTTGCAAGGACAGAGAAGCACAGAAATTGAAAAGAAATCTCTCTGTTAAGTCCCCCAGTCTTTGCTGTCAATGTCTTGTTTCAGTGACCTGGCACAAATGGAAAGAAAAAAAATATAGTAAGCATGTTGATGAACATGGAAAGCAGAGCTGCGTCCTTTCTGTATACAGACCTCATGATGGAGATATGCATGAGAAATGTATCTTGTTTTGGAATGGAAAGGATTTAGTGAACTTTTGTGAATAGTCACAGTTCTATCTCTCTCTAATACTCATAATGCTGCTGTGAATATAGAAGTGCAGATAATCTAACTGTCTTTACTAGCTGCTGGTGATGGGCTCTTTATTTTCACAGTTGTTTGAATTTCACTGAGTTTCTTTTGTTTAAGCAAGAACTACTACTACTACTTCACAAAACACTCTATAGTGTTTTTCAGTGTACACTACACTTTACTGTTGTAAAAGAGAAATTTTGACCTTAGCAGCTGGAGTGGCATAGGCAGGCTGTGAAAGGATGCCTGCCTGGGGATAGTTTGTGGAAATGTTCTGCCTGCACATGAGAAAGGATGGCAAGAACACTTCTGGAGGAGCATGTGAAAGAACAATGTTGCTCTGCTGTTGGAATAATACTAACATTTTCTGAGATTGCAGTCTGGAAAGCTGCATGACGCCTTGCAAATTGAGCAAATTTGCTCATATTCCACTCCCCTTCCACATCTGGTTAACAACAGCCATCCAAAAGTTTTCCCTGACTGTTGAGGTGGGTACTTGTATAAGATGAGTGGGCTGAGTAGCAGGGAATTGGATGTATGAAGCTCTGTTTTAACAACGAACTGCAGATTGTGACTTTGGCAAGTTCTTTGACTGCTTTTTTGTTCATGAATAAAACGTGCTTTGAGATCTCTAAATGAAGTAGGTTATGTAATAGATAAAACTTCCTGAAAGGGGGAGACAATAGAGGCTATTTTAATGTAAATGTCTCATTGGAAAGCAGTGAAACTGTTAGAAAATTAAATGAAGAGTATGCCTTGATCCAAGCTAATGAACATGTCTGTCTTCTCTTATGTTTAATGAACCGAGTCTTGATTATTATTTTTGTTGTTGTTTAACCAGGTTCAAAAGGTAATTAAAACTCTACTGGAAAATAACGCCCACAATGCATATGGCAATAGTGGGTGAGTTGGGACTTCTTACCAGAAATTAGCCTAAATCCAGTGTAAGAACACAGAATAGCCCAACTCAGAAATATTTGTACTACATTTGGTTAACACCAGAGTATGAACATCCTTGGGCCTATGGTTTTCATCTGGGCTCACTGAGAAAAAAAAAAAAAAAAAAAAAAAGGGTTCCCTCTTTTCCCTCTTAACTTTATATTTGGAATGCCACCTGATGAGATGAAATGGGAAAATAAAATATGCTATTCCAAAGTTAAGAATTAATCACAGAGAGAAATAGTTGAAGTTACCTTGTGGGTGTTTCTGAAGAAGGTTAAGAGTTTGGAATTTGGCAAAAATACAGGAAAAAGGCTTGGGGAAAGGAGAGAGATTATCTGTTGGCAGAAGATACCTTTTCCTTCTCCTTTGGTTCCTGGAATATTTGTCTAAGAATAAAGAAATAATTGTCATCACAGAATAATTGTATCACAGAACAGTTTAGAGTGGAAGGGACCTCTGTAGGCCATGTAGGTCCAACCTTCTGTTTGAAGCAGGTCCAATTAGATCTGGGTCAAATTAGATCTACTTACTCAGGGCCTCATCCAGCCCAGGTGTGCTTGTCTCCAGTAATGGGGCTTTTACACACTTTGGGCCTGTGCCATTTTGTGAAAAAGTGACTTCATTGTGAAAAAGATTTTGTTTGCATGTGACTGGAATTTCCCACATTGCAACTTGTGTCTGTTGCCTCTTGCAGTTTCACAGAGCACTTCCAAGGCTGGCTCTGTCTCCTCCACACTTTTTCATAAGGTGGTTGTAGGCATCTGCCCTTAGACTTCTCCTCCTGGAGCTGAACAAACACAGTAGTTTTCACCTCTCATGTGCCATGGGTTCTGTTCAAGGGAATATGACAACTGGAAACTCGTTGAATTGCTTCATTCCCATTTACTCGGAGATGTAGACTTGGTATTTGAGATACCTTGAAAATGCTAATTAAAATTTTAAGTTGTTTTTGTTATCCTCAGCAAAGCGATACAGCCACTCTTTTTTACAATGCTGGATCAGTTTTTAGGCCTGCCCTCACCAAAAAAATGTCTATGTCAGTTGAGAACATTAACATTAAATCATATGCTTTGCTTGGCAGAGAAAGTAATCTTCCTTAAGCAACCAAAATTACAAAAGTACATGATACGCAGAGGCTGACTACAGCGAAACACACAGGTAGCAGCAGGACTGGTGCCCATGTACCTTGTTACCTTAAACACATCCTTTGGCTAGAGCAGTGTGGTGCTCCTGCTTTGCCAGAGCCGCAGTGTATCCACTCTTAATCAGTGTGCACCATGAAAAGAACTGCTACGTTGTGTAATAAGCTTTTGTAACAAGATGAGCCCTGCAAAAGTTCAGAAGCTTTATAGATTTAACAGCCTCTATGGGTATTAAAGTGGGTTGACTGACAAAGCAGAGGAACAAAAGGTAGCTCTGAATGGAATTATTAAAGTCTGAACAATGGGGTTACATACCATCAGGTTTAGTGTGCAGTAGATGAGTATGAGTCACTGTTTTCAGATTTATTTAGATTTGTGTTGCATAAGGGAGATAAAGAGGAAAGTTGTATGGTTGCAATTATTCATACTTAATATCTAATCTCAGTGATGCTTAAGTCATATGGCAGGGCATTGCTCTTGCCAGGATATTTAATTTTTGCAGGTAATCTCTGTCTTTTTTTTTTTTTTTTCTACTGAAATCTCTTTTGAAAATAAAAAGATATCATTTCTTTCAAACCAGGGGATGCTGTTTTACTCTGTGCCCTTTGTGTTTAAGCTGATAAACTCATAGTGAGAAGAGTTCATGCTTCTTGCTTTAAAGTTGAAAATGCCTTAAATGTTGTAACTGGAAGAACCTAGCAAAGGAGAATTAAAGGGGAAAAGTAAACTTTTTTTTTTTTTTTTTTTTTTTTTTTTTTTTTTTTCTTTAAACATCACAGTGTCTATGCAAGGAAAGCTTTTTCATCTGAATGTGGTCTCCTAATACTGATTCTGAGTGAGTGGGAGGATTCCTTCTTCTGGTCTCTCAGGTATATTGGTATGCTATTTACTGTATGCTGTAAAATTTCTTCTTTTGCTGAAATGGTTGGAGTCTACAGTTTTGAGTTGTTTGCATGCCTTGCCTTCCAGTCTGTTTCCATGATGTGAGACCTGACACATCTCTTGCTCAGGGTACATAGGTCCCTTTTAAAAGGAACTTCACAAGGGATGAGACTGAAGCATGGGTGTTTTGGTAGCCGTAATTGCTGATTCACAAAGAAATCAAATGTCCATTGCTGTTTTAGGCAGAAACATACCACGGCCTTGCCAAGACTCTTTTTAGGTGGGCCTTTTTTTAACACCCTTCAGTACCAGTTGGTATTCTTATTGTCCTATATGCTAAAGAATTTTTTTTTATCCTTCAGTCCAGTATTTCTGCATCTGGCAATATGCTAGAGCAAGCTGTGGACTTTTCAGATCAATTATGTCTTACAAGTTGGAACATAAGCTTTTAAAACATAATTACACAGATTATCTGCAGAGCTAAAAAGTCCACTGAATGACAAGCTCAGAGTCATGTTTAGTACCCCCTTGTATTAAACTGGGTCCAGCTGGTTGGCTCCCTACTATTTTTTCCAATGTAAATAAGCTGAATCCTTTTGTGATCTTTCTTGAAGCTGCCTTCTGCACTTTCTTTCATATTTTGTGAGTTTAGATGATAAAATTATACACAAATGAAGTCTCACAGTGTCAGCACAACGGTACTAGTGCTTGTATGGTTTTAATGGGAAGCTTCTGATGTGCCAAAGGTTGGGTTTACTTTTTCCTTCGTTCATTGCATCACATTATCAGTTCATGGACATTTTGTTTCAGATTAATACATTCAATATCTTTATTGCTAATTGAGGCAAAATATTCATTTATGCTTGGGAGCTATACCTCTATGACATAACCTCAATTCCATTATTTTTGCACAGTACGAAGAGACTCACAATTTTAAAAGGAACTACCTAGCCTTTTGGGGGAAACAGGCAAACAAACATGAATGCAGTTCATGCAGGTTCTTTGCATTTACAATTAGCTAACAATTAACATCAGTGGTTCCATTTGTTCCCCTCTTACCTCCCTTTTACTTGTTCATTTGCTTACAATGTAGGAATGTGTTTGATAGGTTGTTTTCCTGTGTAGTTGCTTTGAGACTAATTGCTGATATCCTGGGGATCACTGGACCACTGGTTAAGAAACAGTGATAGAACAGATCTGTATTTCCTCTAGCAAATATTGTAATGCATTTATTTTTATGGATTTTTATTTTAAAACTTTTAACTTTCCTTTTTCTGTCTTATTTTGCAAGATCTAACTCAACCTCAACTAAGCAACTTGTATGGTAAACTACATCTGGTCTCCAAGGCATGTTTATCATCTGTGTTCCTTCTCCTTTATGATTCCATCTGGTATTAAGCAGTCTTTTACTCCTTTAATTAAAAGAAACACTAAGCTTTGTATGTACTAAAGCTCCTGGCTTTATCAGTTTCTGATTTCGATATGTGGAGTGTGTATGAAAGCAGATATTGAGAAAGCTGTGTTTAGAACACAAGAGTATGTCATATATAAAACTACTTGTAAAGAAAAGTGAATTAGATATGTGGAAACATGTGCCTTGCTGGTGCTATAAGGTAGGCTCTTGCGCAGTAAGGTTTGCCTTTGGATTATTAAATTTATACACTCAGCATTCAAGAAAATAATACTTTACCCAGTGCAGCAGACCACCAGCCTACTGGTAGAGGCAGCTTTGTCTATGGCCATCCATCATTTCCTTATTAAGAATTTCCCTGCTCTTTTTTAATAATGTTTATGTAAGAAAAGAAGACATTGTACATGGGAGCAGATGTACAAAACCTACAAGTGAGCTCATGAATCCAGAAACTATACAGCATAAACACATCTTATTTTGTAAAATGTCAAAAGGCAGCACTAGAAACTGAAGTCCTTTCTCAGCAGGGTATGTTCAGCCTAGGCAACATGCATAAGCAGATTGCTTGTTGGTTTGCTCTGTTTCAGATAGCTTTAGTGTCTTTCAAGCTGTTTTTGTAGAGGCATCCACAAAACTGAGATATTCCAGATCAGCCAGTCATTGAGTACTATATGAAGGCTATGCCTCAACTTTAGCCATACACAGTTTTTGATGCAAAACATGCCCATCTGGAGCTAAGCTGAATTAATGCATTCCTTTTCTGCTTGCTAGGGAGAAAGTCATGAGATAACCCCTGCTTTCTAGAGCAAGTAGCGCAGGTAAGGCTTGTGCATTTATAAACATCTAATGCAACTTCTGTTAAGAGTCTGATCATTTGCAATTGTTACAATAATGCTGTAGTGAAGTAGAAAAGATAATTAGAGAAGTTAATGTTAAAAAAAAGAAAAAAGAAAAAAAAGCTGGCAGTGCCTTGCTTTTCCTATGGATATCTTGTTTTCAAGTCCTTCTTAAAGTTGAAATACCATTTCCATATCCCTCTCAAGGGGTGTGGATGCGCTTATTTGGAGGTCAATGAAAGCTAAGCAAATTTATTAAAATGAATACTTTGTGCTGAAAAATACTTCAGCTAAGTTAACACAAGACATAAATCCAAAATTGCTTCTGTAAGGAGTTGAGTAACTGTTTCTTGCAGTTATTTTTATCACAATACCCAGCATTATGGAAGTGTTTGTGCGTTCTAATAATAGAAGAGATTTTCTGTCAATTAAGTGTTATTATTATACTTCTAGTGCCAGATTTTAAATGTGAAACTTTAGAATCTTGTGACTACTGTTTATGAGTTGGTTGGCCTGATTTAAAAAAAAAAATATATAAATTTCAGCCTTTGATTCATCTGCTGGGGAAATACAATAAAAAAAGGGGGGGGGGGGAGGGAATGAGGGGGTACATACTCTGTTGCTTTCTGCTGCAGGTACTTTTGGGAAGGACTGTGTCTCAGAGGGGGAGCAGTTGCATTTATGTCCATAATTTATCATTTTTTAAGTATTCAAGAAACTCGTGAAAGATGCAAATGTTAAAATCGGTTTAAAACTGTTATTAGCTGGGCTGGGGAAGATATTTATGTAGGACTGGCCTTTTTTGGTGCCACAGAGATATTCTTGGGCTGGGTGGTCTTCATAATTTTGACTTTTTTATTTATGAAAGTTCTGATTTATGCGATCAGCTAAATCTGAAATCTGGGACTGGTTATAAAATATAGTGAGATTTGGTAACTATGTGAGTGCTTGCTCAGCATGGCCAGGCATGTTAAATAGCTCCAGGTGGTGGTGGGGGATACTAATGAAGAAGAGTGGGTTATTCTTGAAAGAATGGGTCATGGACAGGAGATTGCCTTTTTGGATACAATGACTGAACTGCCAGTAGATGGCAACGAAGAATTCGCAGCACCTAGAGTTTGTGGCATAATAATGCCTCCTGTGTTTTACACACGGTGTGTATTTCATAGCCCGTTTCAGTCAGCTTGTAGTAGTTGCGTATTTTGAAAGCCTATTTGTAGATCACTGCATAGTAAACATTGTTTTTACTAATTTCATGTATTTAATCAGATTGCCACAAAAATCTTTAGCCCTGTATTTTTTTTCACAACTCTGGGAAAAAATATTTATTCCTGCTGCATGAATATACTTAATACTAGACAACCCATGGCCTGCTACTTCCTGTATACAGGTTATCTATAATCCCAGTTAGGAAAATTACAGTTGCTTCACTGTCAAAGCAAAAAATTAAACACAATGTATCAAATGCATTTTTTTGCTTTTCATGTAGAGCTCTTTACTAATATCAAAATGCAATGTAACTGGGAATACAGGCAAAAATGCAGAGTAAATCCAAACAATTCAGACTCCAGCTCTGTTGCTTTTAATTTCATCAACTGCCTTCTTAAAATCCTCAGAGCTGTTGGTGTTAGTGTTTAACAAAACCCAAAGAAAATAGGAAGATTATTAATGGTTTGGAGGTTTGCCAATATACTTTCAATATTTAAAAAGGGTAAAAAGGTGACCCAGAAAGTTACTGGAGTGTTTACTTGGTGTCAGCTCTGGTAAAAGTCATGGGACAGTTACTTAAGACTCTCTCAGCAAAGAATTAGAGGCTAAAAATATATTCAGTGCCCATCAGTAGGGTTTCACGGAAGGTAGGGTTTGTTGAACAAGCAACATGTCTGTTTTTGGTTGAATGATGGAGCTGGCTGAGTTAATGTCACGTGGCATTGTGATTGAGAAAACCTGCACTTGGTGGAATAAAGAGGTGGAATATTAGATGAACTACCAGGTCAGCTTAGTGACAGTGTTTGATGATTATCGGGGCACTGACCAAGGCAGTTTCTGGTAGAGTTCCCTGGGATCTCATTTCTTTTCTACATTCTGCAGTCATGTGCAAACCTGGTCAAAATTCAAATGCCTCCACCACAGCCTCTACCCCAAGCAAAGACATGAGTAGAGTTTCCTCAGATTCTCTCTTGACCTGTGAGGATAACAACTCAGAACCCAAACACCAGGCATCTAGCTGCTTATTTAGCCCTTCCACCTGTCCCAAACAGTCAGGAATCATCAACATGAGCTGCTGGTGGGGCCTGAAGGGGCTGTGCTAATCTCTGCTGTAGGATCAAGAGGGGCATGCATGCCAGTCCAGTGTCTTCCCTAAGTGCTAAATTTATTTTTCTATACAACGTTGCTAATATTGCTTCCATATTTTGTAATGCTAGTCTTCCTTTTAGGTTTCTGTAAACAGGCATGGTCAAATTCGTAACTGTCTGGTAGTTATACTGAATATTTTTGCCAGTCTTGGATTACGAACAGTAAAATCATAATACCTTCCACAAAGCTTGTTCTGCTGGTAGGCAGGTGATACTACCTTAGAGACTTCAAGGGGAGCAGAAGAAAGAAGTTTGGACAGAGAGAGGGGACATCTTACTGTATGTCCTGTTGTTTCTATTTAAGTGTGGGCAAAGGAAATAGCAATATTAATAATTATTAATCTGTGAGAGAGTAATTAAATTCCTTCAAAATAATCTGTAAAGCAGCAAAGTAAAAGCATCATCTGTTTTACTGCTGGAAAAACATAGGTTTATGTATTTTTTTTTCAAAGCCACAAGAAGTGGCTTATATATAGTATATAAATGCATATTTTCAAAAGCAAGTCTTTCAGCCCCAAGACACCAATCGTAGATGAAGGAACTTTATCAAAAAGAATAAGTAGATTGCAGAAACACATGTATATTTCTGAACAGAAAAGAAACGTTTCTCCTCCATGGTTATGATCGCTCTTAGTAACAGTGGATGTCCTTTTTAATGTGACACTTGGCAGGAAGGTGCCATTCTCGCATGCTTTGTGTTCTGCAAGTGATTCTTAAATGCAGAAAGCAGCGCCAGATGCAGCATTTCCCTATGCTATCCTCTGACGGTGGCGATGCAGCAGAAATAGCTTGTATATGCAGGTGCTAACAACCCAGCCTTGTATAAACAGGTGTACGTATTCCCAGCAGCGCTTACTTTTTGGGTTAATGTGTTGTAAAGGCCTCCACCTTGTGGCTAGCAGTGTAAAACGTGCAGCCTTCTCGAGTTAGAATCATTAATTTCCTGTAATTTCAACACTTCCGAAGTCAAGCCGCACATTTTATGGTTGCCTTCTGACTTTGCTAGATAGTCTTTGTGAATCCTTAAAGACGTGCATACATGTCAAAGATGGTCGTCTCCCTGGCTCTTCTGAGACAGTCTCAGGATTTTCTGAGTGACAAAAATATGGTGTCCAGTGTAAGTGAGATGTGCTAAAGCTCTACACCTCTCTGTGCAGCAAAGCCAAATTTACAGGCTATGCTGCAGTGCAGGGCCAATTAGTTTCACATCTGCTGATTACCCTAAAACAGCAGAGTGTAACTGAGATGCTGTGAGACTTGCGAGCCCTTATCTCTAGGATGACATGCACAAAGAAAAGATCCTGTGTTTAAGTTTGAGCTGGTAATTAGAAAAGCTGTTTGTAAGCATATTGGATCCAGTAGAAGACAATACACAAGCTGTTTATAAAGTATATCAATGAATTCACTTTTCACAGTGGATCCTGAGTGAAAAAATTTGCACAAAATAAGAACCCATCTATACAGAAATTGTCACCAACTTAGCTAACCCTGTTTCACATTAATTCCCTTAGGGTGTCTATGTGGCTGCAGCAGGTGAGCACAGATGCATGCATTCACACTGAGAGGATGCTGAAGCAGAGGTTATTTCCAGGTTGGTGTGTGTGTGAAGCCGTGCATAGAGAACTCTGTCTTCAAGGAAACTGGTGTTAGGGACAAAATCTGCCATCACGTGCCTGTTCTGCAGAGATCTGGATAGGAAAGAGTTCAGGCAGGGCAATACCACTCTGCTTAATGGCAAGCCATGTCACTGTACAAGAGTGTATAGAGTTGGCAGGTCATTCACTCTTGTAAGAAAATAAAAATACCCATCATATCCCATGAAGCAACCTCCTTTTGACTTTCTCTTTGGTGGCATAGGTCACTTACCATTCGTAGGATGTAGAAGCCAATATTGTGACACTTGGATTTTTATTTTGTCACTAAATGCCCACGGAGGATGCCATAAAATACAATAGTTTCAGAGAGACCTAGGCTTTTATCTCTGTCTGTGTCATATGGAATACCTTACTTGTGCTGGTAGACTTTTGTTCAAGATCACCTTGTATTGATCTTGATAAGAGAGAGGCTCTGTCTTCAAAGGCAGAAATCATTTCACATCAGCCTTTGCTGTGGTCATTTCTACTGAGCACCAAAAGATGCACTGCAGTGTTGGTGCCTGTTGCACACCTGTGAACAGGAAGAAATTCTTGTGTTTAATGGATAAGGCAGTGCTGTTCATAAGCACTGGATTGCCATAGCACTCAGTGTGCAATGAAATGGCACTGCCTGAAAGCTCACCTGAACTTTTTGCTGAAAAATGTCACTGATATTTCTAGAGCTTGACATTTGGAGTCTCCAGACACAATGTGTGCATCTAGCAGGGATTCAGTTCTCTGTCTTGTTTCTAAATGAGATTAAAATGAATAGGAGGATGCTGTTTGCATTCCTGTACATTGTTCTGTGAGCATTTCTTCTTCTTTGGCAGAACTTTCTCTCTGGGGCCAGCAATAGGACCTGAGGGAATGGCATGGAGCTGTGATGAGAGCATCAGGCTGGGTGTTAGGGAAAAGTTCTGTGCTGAGAGGTGGTCAGTCGATGGATTCAGAAAACCTCATGATAGAAATTCAGTACATGGTTAGGAGACATGAAAAAGTTTAGCTGACTACATCTGATCGGCCAGGTAGACTCATGCACTCTCTCACACTGAGTTGCAGCTTATTCTTGTTATGATCACACTGGCTGTATAAAAGGCAACAGACTGATCTGAAGATGGCTGAAAAGCAAATGGAAGAAGCCCATTCATCTCAGTGAGCATCAGTCCTGGCCAATGGTGAGCTACAATTTCTATTTAGCTGTGATCAGGATTATTTCTGAACCCCTTCTGCACAGCAGACAATCTTGGGTTTTCAGATGCTTAGTCCTAGGAACTTGAAGCCAGTAGGTAAATCCTACCAGAGAGACATGTGGCAAGAAAGGAACATTTAAACAGGAATTTGTCTTTTTAAGTGTAGCCATGGTAATTTGCTTACAAGCACTCAGAAAAATTTCTCAGGTATAGGCCAGCAACTGTCGTTGCATAAACAACTAGTTCTCCAGCTCAGCCAATGTTAGTTATTCATGATGTAAACTTATAAAGATCTGCTGGGGTTCTTTAGAAAGGGCTTGTCATCAAGTTATACAAAATAAGGAGAAAACACAGCTAACTCTTTTGGACCAGAGACAAACCACAGGCAATGACCAAATGACTTGATGCTCTGCTGAGCTAGAGTAGAACAGGCTTGCTTCTCTCACATGCCGCTGTGTTTTGGCTTCAAACCTAATTTCTCTCTCGCAAGTTAGTCTTCATAAAAGAAGTTGAGCCTGTGATGTGGCACCTGCAAATCTTATCTTATACCATGGTCTTGAAGCAGTGACAGCAACCACTGCCATGCTGAGGGATCCAGCAACTATATTAAAAGTGTTGCTGCTGCTTTCTCTGCTGCTGTCTTGTGGTTTCATTTGCCATGCTGCTCCAGAGGCATCCCAGTAGCCATGTAGGAACTCATTTTATGCTCACTGTAGTTGCAGACAAGCCACTTGGCTTTGGTAAGCTTTTTGTAAGGTAAAGCCAAAGAGCCTGCAAGGGCCATGTAGAAGTCCAGCTGTGTTTGTGGGTATTTGTGCATACAATTAGATTTTATTGAGTTTCAGTATATGAGCTTGAAATCTTGCCATCAAAAATCAGTTTATAACTCTTCAGATAACTTCTGCTTTTAGTTAGCATGGAAGTGCTGTACGGACAGGGCTTTTTAGGGGCACCAGGGTTGGAGTTCAGCCCTGTCAGACACAGGAACTGGCAAAGCATGTGGAGAGTGGAAGAAATGGAGCGAAGAGCTGACCCATGACAGCTCTTGGCTGCTCTGAGAAATTTGGCTCCTCACTCCCACATGCAGCATCCTTGCGAGTGGCTATGGCTGGAACCCAAAGGCAGGGTGTGGCAGCTAAGCAACCCTCATTCTGAGGGAGCTTTATGTGAGGCCCACTCTTTCAGTTCTTAACAAGGCACTACCACCTCCCCTCTCTCCAAATCCTTCCCATAGTCTCTCTGAAGGACTACCAGTCCCACAGTGGGACAGACTTTTGCGTCCTTATCTCTGGAGTGGCAAAAAGAGGGAAAACAAAACACCACCAGCAAAACACTTTCTCATACTGACAGGTTTTATGGCTTCACATAGAATCAGAATCATAGAATATCCCAAGTTGGAAGGGACCCACAAGGATCATCGAGTCCAACTCCTGGCACCACACGGGTCTACCCAAAAATTCAGACCATATGACAGATCACAGTCCAAACTCTTAAACTCTGACAGGGTTGGTGCTGTGACTGTGTCCCTGGGGAGCCTGTTCCAGTGTGCGACCACCCTCTCAGTGAAGAACCTTTTCTTGATATCCAGTCTGAACCTCCCCTGTCACAGCTTGATTCCATTCCCTCAGGTCCTATCGCTGGTCACTAAAGAGAAGAGATCGATACATGCCCCTCCACTCCCCCTTGTCAGGAAGCTGTAGGCCACAGTGAGGTCTCCCTTCGGCCTCCTCTTCTCCAGGCTGAACAGGCCCAGTGACCTCAGCTGCTCCTCATACATCTTTCCCTCTAGGCCCTTCACCATTTTTGTAGCCCTCCTCTGGACACTCTCCAACAGTTTCATGTCCTTTTTGTGCTGTGGTGCCCAAAACTGCACACAGTGCTCAGGGTGAGACTGCACCAGAGCAGAGCAAGACAATCACTTCCCTCGACCAACTAGCAATGCCGTGCTTGACTGCTTTTTACATGTTTAGTTACTAAATACAGTATGTGATACCCTGCTTTCTTTTCTATCCTTGCTTGTTCAAAGAATTGTGTTGTGAAAAAACACTAGATTCTTCTACAGTTGTGTATGGGTGAAAATTATTATTTTTTAAAATCAGAGTAGGAGACTATTAAGTTGCTAGTAAATAATGTAGTCTAATCTTCAATATGTCATTGATTATTCATATTAAATTGGATGCCCATATATTTTTTTGTTTGAATCTGTTGCCTATAATGAATACATATTTCAACTAATTAAATCAGATTTGATAAACTAGCTGGGAGAAATCGGATGATTTTTAGTTTAAGTGTAGTTAGTTCAACTTTTGCTGGAATGCTTGCTTTAAATGGCTCTTGAAAACTGAAATAGCATGGATCTAACAAAGACAGTTGTGTATATATGTTGTAGCACCCCAGTAAAGATACTGCATGGTACCTGTAGTGCATGAACAATCAAGAACATGAAATGATACCTGAAAATATGTCAGAAAATGGGTTGTATATAGGGAAACCTGTGGGTTGTGGTCTCCAGCTTTTGTAGCTGGAGGGCTGTACATGGCCTTTTTGTTCAACCAGACATTTCTCCTGCTTCTTGTAGTGCCTGAAGAAGTGAAACTCTGAGTGGCAGGACATATTTGTGGCTGGAGACACCAGAGTACCTGGCCAGTGGCATATACAGAGCCTTGTACGAAATACTAAAATTGAAGTTTTTCATCTGACAAAGGAAAATAAATAATAATCCTAATAACAGGAACCCAACTGCTCAGCTTTCTCAGTGGATTCAAGGAGGTGAGTTGAACGGCTGTGTGCTCGGATGTCCTGCCGCGATCTGGATGGCGCTGTCAGCACTGGGCCGAGTGCCTCGCCCCATGTTTACCTCAGCATCCCTCATGGGGTGTGGGCCAGGCTCTCTGGTGTCTGCTCCTCAGTGACCAAACAGACCCCCATCAGGATGTTTCCTCTGTTGACCTTCCTGCTGATGCTAACCCATAGGGACTCAACCTTAGCATTCCCAGCCTCAAGTTCCATGACATCAAAACTCTCTCTGATATAGAGAGCCACACCACCACCCCTTCCATGCTGCCTGTCCCTTCTGAAGAGCCTATAGCCAGACATTGCAGCACTCCAGTCATGAGAGTGATCCCACCACGTTTCCGTGATAGCAACTAAGTCGTAGCCTGCCTGCTGCAAGATGGCTTCCAGCTCCTCCTGTTTGTTACCCATGCTGCGTGCATTAGTGTAGATGCACTTCAGTCGGGCCATTGCCTTCTCTCCCAGCCTTGCCATTGTTCCCCCTGGCACAGCTCTAACAAGCCTTGTTTCATCCCTGTCCCCCTTCTCACCTAGTTTAAAGCCCTCTCAATGAGCCCTGCCAGCTCCTGGCCTAGGATCCGTTTTCCCCTTAGAGATAGGGACCCGTCTGCGGCCATCAGGCCGGGTGCCAAGTAAAGTGCCCCATGGTCAAAATAATAATAATTCTGTGTTGGCACCAGCCTCTGAACCATGTGTTTATCAGGTGAGCATTCCGTGTCCTCTCTATACCCCTCCCTGCCACCGTAGGGATGGATGAAAACAGGACCTGTACTCCTGCTCCATCCACTAACCATCCCAGTCCCCTAAAGTCTTGTTTGATAGTCTTCAGGCTTCTCTCTTCAGTGTCATCACTGTTAGCCTGGACTATTAAAAGAGGATAATAGAGGGGCGAACTAGGTTGGGAAGCTTTCTGGCAATGTCCTTGACCCTGGCCCCAGGGAGGCAGCAGACTTCCCTACGGGTAGGGTCAGGCTGACAAATAGGTCCCTCTGTTCCCCTGAGAAGGGAGTCACCCACAACAATCACCCTTCTTTCTGTCCTGGTGGAGGCAGTCCTGAGGCGTGGAGTCGACTTCTTCACCCTAAGCATCCTCCTGGGTAGATTTTCTACCTCTTCCTCAACTACCGGTCTCTCAAGCTGCAGGGCCTCAAACCTGTTGCATGAGGGCACCTGGGAAGGTGGGGCCGGTAGGGGGGGGGGCATCACCTGCAGTGTCGAGCAGGGACCTGTTTCCATTCCTCCTCAAATCCTAGGTCCCCTTCCTCTGCCCAACAGCAACAGGGCAGGGGGCTCACCCCCATTTGGGGTGTCTCACCCTGGTACCTGTCCTTCAGGCTGCGCACAGAGTTGCTCCACAAGTCTTTCTCCCACTCACGCTCCCTGATATCCCTCAACCTCTTGACCTCCTTCTTGAGTTCTGCCATGAGGCAGACCAGGTCGTCCACCTGCTTGCACCTCACGCACACAGTCTCTTTGCCCCCCACAGGTGGTAGCAACAGGCTCAGGCACTCCCTGCACCCAGAGACCTGAACTGCCACAGTTTTGAGCGGGCAGTCGGTCAGTGTGTGAACAGACTTCCTGGAGAGCGCACTGTGCCTGGTGGAGACCATTGCAGCTGAGCTAGCGGTAGACCGCCATTAGAGGAGGTGTTCGTATGGGCGGGGGAGGGGAACGCTCTGCCCTGCCTGCGCGAACTGCCGCACCACTTCCTTCTGCCGCACCACTAGGGTCGCTCGCGCTCCCTAGGGGCAGCTTTTGAACGGCCGGGGAGGGGGCGCTGCTGGCTCCGCCTACGCCTCCTTCTCACCTCGTTCACCTCCCTCGCGAGGACTGCCAGGTCCTGGCGGCTCCCTCGAGTGGGCTCGGTGCCGGAAAAATTAGCCCTGCCTGTCTGATCCCCTGCTCCGCTGCAGAACGCGTCTGCCCTGGAGCCGATCGCCTTTGCAAGTGGCTATAATATTAAGTGGCTAAGATATTATTCTTCAATGTGCATGAATTGCTTATAATATTAAGATAATCAAGAATAGTTCTTCATACTGATAGTTGCCGTTTGCACACTATAGACGATAGCGTAATGGAAATTTTGTAGTTTTTCAGAATTTCAAAAGCCCACTGTAATTAATCCAAAAGTATTAATAAGGCAACATAAAACTATGCATAACTGCTAGATTTACTCTGGTCAAATTAATTAAATGTATTATTTCTGGTCCAGTTTTGAAAAAGTATGCTGTAAAAAAAACTTTTTTTCCCTAAAATGTAAAAAGTAAACTTTTTGAATTCTCTTGTCACTAGAATCAGTCTGTCCAACTAAACTTACTCTGCAGAAAACTTTTCCTGTAAAAGAGACCAGTGTAACTGCTATGTACAGACCGTTTGTTCCTGTGTGTTTGTGGGAAATTCTGTTTATAATTTAAGGTTTATTTCAACCTTAACTAAGAAAAAAATCTTATGTTATTCTCTATTAAAAATAAGAATCAAAATGTATACTATTCTGTAATCCAGTTTAATTCTGATTTACCAGTAGAGGGAGATGGTGTTCTTGAAGCTCAATCTAAACTTGTTACAGTTATTTTCATAATACAGCGTGGTTGCCTAATTGTCTGTAAACTCTTTTGAAAATCCTGACTTGAAATTCTTGAGGATAAACTAACTTTCAGTGATTAAAAAACCAACCAAACAAACAAACAAAAAGTCACACACACACAAAAAACACCTTTATAATAGTGCTGTAGGAGTTCTGCAAAAATTCCTGCATCCAGCAGGCAATTACTGTAGTGGTGAAAGCAGTCAAAGTGTTGTAACATGATCACCTCTAGCTGGTTCCATTGCGTTAGCTCTCTATGCATGTGAGCTAATGGAAGGTTTGTGAGTGTGATTTAATGTACACACATGGGCATTTCTTGGGGAAATCAAATGGGTGACTTGGAAGGTGATTCTTCTCATTGACAGAGGCATCTGTACAGAATTATGTTGCATACCTCTCATTTGGTGGTCTCCGTTTTCTCTTACAGCTGCAGAGCAACAACCCCGTAGTTCTGTACGGAAATCTAGTGCCTATATTGCTGGAAAGGTTTTTTCAAATAGGACCTACAGGCAACAGTTTTGAAATCCTTTTTGAAATCCTACCTCAAAAGCTTAGAAGAGAAGAGATCCGCACGTGAAGCAGTGGTCATGCATGCAGGTGCACAGGACTCGCCATATGGGAGACAGTCACCAGCCTTAGCGCCAGTACCTGCTCTCTGAACCTATCACCTCCAGCTCCCTTCCTCAGCAGTCAGACGAGGCCCAGCTGCAACTAACGATACTGATCTGATCTTGAATATAGTTTACAAGGAAGGATATTCCCTAGTAGCTCTTCAGACACAGTGTAAATGACTCTATACCTGACAACGTTTAGCTTGCAATTATAAAACAGAAGTGGTTGAGTGGTTTCACCCAGAGGTAAGACAAGATGAGTGCTAAAAGCATACTGTCTTCATATGAGGCCAGCCGTGTGGCTTACAAAATAGAAGTCACTAGCTGGAAGGGGTCAGCGTTTATTTAGTCACTTCTGAGTTAGAACCCTGATCCTGTAATTGCATTCACATGATAAAGTCTCCCCCCAAAAGTAGTGCTAGGTTCTTTGTATATAAATGTGAAGATTTTGCCACATATAACCACAGATTCACCTGTCTGTCCTTCCTCTTTTCTGCTCCTTGTTTATCTTTTGTTGCAGAGCTGTTAGCAGCAGCCTTACTGGGTTTCAGGCTCTTTGGCATACTGGCTAATTCCTTTTCCTCTTCTAGGATGGCACCTTAACCATGTCCCTCCCAAATGAAGCATAAGTTCTGCCTGCAGGATACTTCAAATCTCAGAATTTGAGACCTAAAACATTGTTTTCAGTTTTGGAGTAGTGAATGTCTTTGACAAATACAAAGTTACACTTCTCGTGTGCATGACTGGAGTGTGAATATACATAAAATACAAAGACAGGACTAAAGACTGGCTGAGAAAACACTCTATTAACTGGAGAGTTCTTGCTATACAATAAGTATACTAATTACATAGATAGCCAAAGCAACATACCCAAAACAAACAGCAAAGATTCCCTCCTTTTCCACAACAATTAATGAAGTTCAAACAAAGCAAAAATAAAATTTAAAAAAACGGGGTGGGGGAGCATGATGACTTGGAGGAGGAGTGGGAGTAAAACTTTTTAATGTGCGTGGAGATACAGAGGAACTTTTGTCAAATGTCTGTGACAAAACAGCTCAGAGTATCTGGTATACGTGCAGAGTCTGCTGACCAGCAAAGAGGTGTCGTGAGAAAGAGCTCCGTAGGCGCAGCCTGCTGAGAGTGGTCCATGGGATCCAAGGAGGAGAATCTGTTTTGGTATCAGCAGTTTCCTCTGTAATTAGAGAGTAGCACCAGCTTTAAAAACAATCATTCTGATGTTCTCCTTCAGATGGAAACTTCAGTTTTGAAGTGGACGGTTGTTTACTGTGAACTGGATTGAAACCAGCAACTCTGTCTTTGGTAGCAGCCATTAGACAGTAACATATTTTAGCTGCATATTACAAAATGAAGCAGATTAAGACAAAGGCCCAAAGGGTGAAATGTACTTTATTTCCTTCCCAGTCTTCTGAACTAGTATATTTTCCCCACAGTGTACAAATTGTATACTTTTTATATTTGAGACAAGCTAGGAAGAAAGGAGTTAAATCGTTTAACTCTTTATTCCATTTCTCCTAACAATTTACAGCCACTCATGGCAATTATATAGCCACCTATCAGTCCAGGTGGGTAACGCTTTACTCACACCCAGAGTGATGTAAGTGCAGGGGGAGGAACAGGGCAATCACGCTCAACAGTCAGGCTGCAGCAGGGTCGCGCTGTGCCAGGGGCACGGGTCTGTCCCCCGCTCAGCTGTGGCTCTGGCACACGGTCGCAGCTCTACAGAGGAGCATGGTGATTTTTATTGATAGACGATTCTTTGGCAAACTATGAAAATAATTTTGTTGGAGAAGGGAAAAAAAAAAATCTCTTGCTACAGGGCTTTCTTCCTGCAAATTTCAAAGGTCTGCTGTGAATAATAGTGTTAGAGCTTCCAAGCTACAAGAATATTTTATAGTGGAAAGTGTTAGGCAACCAAAACAAATATCAGTTCCCACTGTTACAAAGTAAGATTTATTATTGTTTATGTTGTACCTTAAAACCTGCAATAAATGACATTGTTTTGAGAAGCGACACAATGTGTCAAAGAGTTGATTCTTTTCACAGGGACACTGCCTTGGTTTGTTCTAGCTTGTTTACATTTAAATGAGAAATAATTTAAGACAGAAAGAACACGAGAGCTTTCTTTGTCAGAAAAAATGTAACAGGAATCCATCTTCACAAAGGACTAAACAAAATCTTTAAATCCAAGTGTTTCCAGTCTCCAGGGTGTTCAAAATACATATTCCTACTTTATGGCTCGAACGTGTCTCTACTTACAAGATTTGTGAATATTTTGACAAACCTGGTCTGAGTTTTCTGGTAGGAAAGTTACAGATGAGGCAAGTTTTCCATGGTTTGGGGTTTTATGGCGAATGTGTTGCACAGCTCTGGTTATGTGCTTCCTTCTCATGACATCAGTGCTGAAGGGGAGAAAGAATGTAAACATCTGTTTTTTATAATTCAATTCCAGGCTTATAACTTGATTAGGATAAGCAATGTTTCGACGTGATTAATTTTCCAGTCACAATATGATGGTTTGAGCGCACAGTTGTAGCACCAATTTCAAGATGCATAGAGGCAGATTCTGCTAATGAGGCTGGTTCTGCTGCATCGCCCAACCTCCCCAGCCGCATCAGACGCAGCTGACAAGAACCCGCTTGCCTCATCCCACCAAAAACTAAGGATGCGATTTTCCTCCTGCTTTGCAACTACAACCAGGTGATGCTGCTCACCTGGGAGCGCGGTGGCCTCCACCGGTGGGCAGTAAGGCCGGGACCCCAGCACTGAGTGGGGCTGTGGCCACCTCACCTCAGCCCCGCTCCACTTTCAGGCGGCACTGATCAGATTTTCAGGAGGTATTCCAGGCACTTAGGGTCAGATTTTCAGGAGGTATTTATGTGCCTGCTGGGACGCAGCGAAGTATCTCTGAAAAACCTGGCCTTAAATCGAGCACGCTGCCTGCGGGCTGCAGGGCAGGCGGGAAGCACCGCGCAGCCCACTTGCTTGCTTTACCTCGCTGCCTGCTCAAGCGGTGCCTGCAGCTTCTCCGTCCTCCCTCAGCACCACCTCGCAGGAGCAGGGGCAGACTCGGTCCGGGAGGGACCGGGGCTTCGGCCCGCACCTTTCAGGTAGCGCTTGTGGAGGCGAGCAGCGGCGGCGGCGCAGTTTGAGCGACCCTGGTTCTTGGCGCCCCGGGGCTCCGCTCCCCTCCCCGGCAGGTGCCGGCGCGGCCCCTGCCCCTCAGCCTCGGCGGTCGCCCCGCGCGGGGGCCCTGGGCTGAGGGAGGCGGGGCCGGGCGGCGCCGCAGCCGGGGCTCCCTGCGGCGCGGCAGCTCCCGCAGCCCACGGCATGGCCGGGGCTCTGCCTTCTCCCTCGGGGCGGCGCTGCCCCGGTCCCGGCCCCAGCCCCGGCCCCGGCCCTGCCCGATAAGAAAGGCGGAGCGGGGCTGCGGCGGCGCGCAGACAAAAGCTGCGGCGTTTCCTGCGCTCCGCGCTGAGGGGAGCCGGGCGGCCGGCCGAACATGGCTCTCGGTGGGGCGCGGGCGGCGGGGCCGGGCTCCCTCCTGCTGCTGCTGCTCGCCCTCTGCCCCCGCGCTAAGCCCGAGCCGGGCGCCGAGGCGGTTCCCGAGGGAGCCTCCACCCTGACCTTCGTGTTCGATGTCACCGGCTCCATGTACGACGACTTGGTGCAAGTCATCGAAGGGGCGTCGAAGATCCTGGAGACGTCGCTGAAGCGACCCAAGAGGCCGCTGTACAACTTCGCCCTGGTGCCCTTCCACGACCCAGGTGAGGGCTCGCCCCGGGCCCCGCTGAGGGAGGGACCCGGAGCGGGGAGCGGGGAGTCGGCAGCGGGGCGGCCGCCGGGGGTCTCCTCCTCACCCGCTCCCTGCCCCTCGCCCAGCGCCCGCTGGCCCACCTTTGTCCCCGCACCGTCGCTGGTTCCCGTTGCTCTGCTTCTCCCCGGCCGTCTGCCTCCCTCCTTGCCACAGCCCTGAAACCAGAGCAGGATGCCCCAGCCCGGTGATGCCCGCGCTACCCGGCGCCGCAAACGCCCGCTTTTTCTTAAGAAAGGAAATCGGAGAAGGATGGGGCGTAAGGGCCCCTGAAAGTAGCCGCTCTGGTGCTAGTTTCCATGGGACTCTGCAGGGTATTCCCGAGGTCGGTGCTTTAGAGGTCGTTTTTTTTTTTCAGGAATGTCCTCGAACAAAACCGGGTGCCCCTTCTTTTTCTCCCCAGCCATGGGCACTTCTGCCTGCAAAGCATTTGCTTGCCATTGTTACCAATAGCTTAATCGAATTGCTTGGAAAACTAGGGAAAAACTTTCATTTTTTTTTCTGTTTTGTTAGCCATGAGCTTGCATAGGTTCTCTCTCCTTTAAAGAAGAGCCTGTCTTTGTTGTATCAGAAAAACATCCATTTATGTATCTTACTATTTTCACCTTTGATGTCACATCTTTTTCTTCTAATTCTGTGTTTTTGTTCTTTTATGAGACAAACCTGTGCGGAACGTAAAGCATGCCATACCACAGATGTGAGCAAGAGGGGAGAGGATTTGCGGCAGTCGCACCCAGAGCTTATTTCTGCCCTGCTGCAAAGCCACACTAGCAGTTCTCCCTGGAGCTCTTTCTCCCTGGGATGGGGCAGAAGACCACCATGGTGGTTGGGGTGGTTTTGTTTTTTCTCCCCATGATTTTATATCTTTATGTTTACATTTTATCACTTTATATTTACTCTTTACATCGTCCCTTTCTGCTCACTGAAGTGGTTCGTTATGAGGTTGCTAATCCACTTTTTCAGAGGGCTTGGATATCTGCACCAACCCTGAGAGCCAGAAGATGGCCTTGTGTGATGTGATTTTAGTTTGTGAGTCTGTTAGCCTGGTCCTTTCTTCGCAACTCTTGTGCATTTGTGTAGAAAAAAACTTGCAGCCATGGTGTCACTGATACTTCCAGTGCTTAGCTTTCATCAAAGGTCAGCTTCAAATCCCTTGTTTCAATCACTGCTTTCTCCCCCCCCACCCCATCCCACGTGTGCTTGTTTCCTCATTTGCTCTTCCCTTTGGTCAGTTTCTCCATTTTATTCCTTTCTTCCCTGACCTCCTTGCTTCCACTGGCTCTCTGGGTCTTTGTGTCTGTTACAGCCAGAGCCCTGTAACCACGCTTTCCTGTGCCACCACGACCTTGCTCCCTGCATCCCTTGCTGCCACTTGCTCTCCTTGCTTCACATCTCTACCCCTCGCAGGCTCCTTGTTCTCCTGCCCTGTTTGCTCTCTCTCCCCAGGAGATCCCTTTCCTCAGCAGATTGCACCCAGCAGAGTAGCTGAAACGTTGGTCCACGGGGAGCTGAGCAAAGAGAGACAGTTCTTGTCAGCGATCTGCGTTGGTGTCTCCTGTTAGGGAAGTCCAGCTTCCTCACGCAGCCAGGGAGCCATGCTTCTCACTGTCACGGGTGGCTTGTTAGGTCTTAACGTGGTTTGAAAGGTGCTTAAGTTTAAACTTGACTTTATCTTGACTTCTGAAAATTATTTCTGTATGTCTTTCTTAGAGTTAGTAGGACACAGCATGGGCTGGTGTCTTGAACTTTATGGACATAGCTGCTGATAATCTGGTATTTTACATCTACTGATGACCAAATCTAGATTCTACAAACGAAAAAGAAGGAAATAGTGTTGTGAACACTTCCTTACCACCTTCTATGAACCTAGAGGAAGTAAATTAATTAAAAAATATAAAATAAAAATTTAAAACTGAAGTTGCTTGGCATGTATGTCAGCGTCCAATTCACTTACCTAGTGTTGTTCTGTCTGATGGCAGCTCAACTAAACTGATGAGCATGAGATTTCTTTTTTTTCCCCCCAAGTTGTCTGCTTATTTGCACAATTGGGTGATTTCTTTTTGCTTCTTCAGAAAAAAGCTTTGTACACAGCTGTCCCGCAGACAAGCTTTCTTGATGTTTCTGTGAGGTAGCGTGTCCCAGAGGTGAATGGGACGCTAGGAGGAGCACAACATGCAGCTGAACCTGAGCTTCATAGAGCTGGTTTGTACAAGGCTGTCCTGATCCAGACACACTGTTTGTTGATGGGTAATTACAAATGTAACTCCTTTGGTCTCATCACTGATGTTACACCCCATTCCCTGTTCAGGGCCGGGGCAGTTGCTCTGCGGCACTGCTTGGTTGCTGGTGGCACAGCTCAAGTGCTTTCAGACCAGCCTCAGGACGGACAGATTTCTGGTGAAAAGAGAAGAATATTCATCAAAACCATGCATTAATCTGTCCTGAAAGAGTATTTGACATTGCACAAGGTACATCTGGATTACAAATAATTTGAGTTATGCAGTAGGATATAGCAGGATTTTCAAATGTGTTGTTACTAAAATGCTGCATAGTGATGTGCCTATGCACTGTGGTGGCCTTTGATGGTAGATTTAAATGTAGCGTCATGACCCCTGCTGTGGTACTTTGCTAGCACTGCGGTGTTTTGGTAAAGCAGTAATAATTGACAAGTTTATTTTGTTGAATTGAACCTGAGGTTTTTGGCACAGTGCAGAATTATGGCCTACAGAAAAGACTTGTAATGGGTTTCACGTGCTGATGCCACTGAGCCATCTGTGGGTATGCTGAGATCCCTATTTTGAAAAAGCCTTTTGGTTTTGGTTTTGTCTTGAGTGTGTCAGAATATGCCAGCAGATCACAGGAATTTTTCTGTTGTGGTTTTTCAATGCCTGAACACTGTCATGGAAGTTTTGTAGGTAGTGAAAAGGGCTCTTGACAAAGAAATCTCTTGCCAGACTTGTATTCAGTGGGAAAAAAATGAAAAAAAATATCTCCCAAATCAAGGAGAGTTGGCACAGGAAAATACTGTATTGGAGCTAAGGCTTAAGATAACTGAATGCTTTTGTAGTTGCGTGTTGTGGGTCCTGATCTCCTACTAACTCACTCCTATTGTATCCTGTGGAAACAGAACTGGGCTCGGAACATCTCTATTTAACATCTGTGGCCAGCTTTTCTGTTTTTTCTTTATGCCATTAAGGAATTTTGGAACGGAAAACAAGCCCAAGAGGACACATTCATCCCTAGCATTTTTCTGTAAAGCTAATGGAGTTATCCCAGTAATAACTTTGACTCTGCATGATTCAATCAAGCATTCTTCTAGAGTGAATGACTATTTTCAAGACCAAACTCCAGCAGTTTAATTACAAGTATAATGAAGAGAATAGGGTTGCTTTACCCATTTTTTTTAATATATGTAATGTTAAGTGATATCATTAAGTTTTGAGGTAACCCACTCCTATAAATGTTGTTCTAATGGGTTAGCCAGAATTTAAATACTTTTTTTTTTTTCCATGGAACAAATATAGAGGAAAACTGACTCTTCACTCGTCCCTGTGATCTTGAAGAAAGGTCTTTTTTGAGTTGCATTCTGAATATAAGGTGTTTGGAGACCTGGGCTAAGCTGCCAGAGTTTGTTGTGCCTGAGCTTGTGCATAGGAATATGCACACAACAATATTTAATACAATCACAGAACCTTTAAGGTTGGAAAAGACGTTCAAGAACATCTAGTCCAACCATCACCCTACTACCAACGTCACCCACAAAACCATGTCCTTAAACACCACATCCAACCTTGCATTGAACACCTTCAGGGACAGTGACTCCCACAGCTCCCTGGGCAACCCATTCAATGCCTGACTACTCTTTCTGAGAAGAAATTTCTCTTAATTTCCAACCTAAACCTCCCCTAGCACAGCTTGAGGCCCTTCCCTCTTGTTCTAAAGCTGTCTGTGAGAAGAGGCTGACCCCCAGCTCCCCACAACTTCCTCTCAGGGAATTTAACTGTTCTTACAGTAGTGTAGCTATGTGGTTATGTAGGCTCTGGGCTTCTAAGTGCACAGGGTGGTGTTAATGCCATTTAATACTCCTAATGTCTATGGATGTCTGACATGAGCATCTCTTGTCCCTTCTTACAAATGGGACAGGCAATGTATTGCCTATGTGACAAACAGGAAAACATGCTGCTTTGTTCAGAGTATTGAACTGAAGTTATCCACTTAGGGCGACACAATGAACGTACAGGAGAGCTAGAAATAAAACTTTTGTTTTTTTTCCCTTGGTCCCGCTTTGCTTTTCTGAGAGCAGAGCTCTGACTAAAATGG